TATTGGCGTTAATATTATTAGAGCTAGCGTTATTTTCCATGATTATTGTTTTTACAGAAAAAAAAAGAATTATTTATAAAAGAAATGATGAAAAATGTGAACAATGTAACAATATAATAAAAAACAATACAAAAAAAACTTAGCTGATTTCCAAGAAAGCCTTTCGACTAAAGAAATAAGCAAGTACATAAAATTATTATTAATAAAATAAAAAAAATAAAGAAATGACAACAAAACAATAAATAAATAATAAAATAATCCTGAGAACATTTCAAAATTAAAGGAAAGAGGGAGGAAATTGATAGTGAAATTTTATAATAATAATAACAATATTCCAATAAAAGGGGGCTATATATACATGTACACAAATATACTGATCAGCAGAAATTATTATATATTAATTAAATTTTTTTTTAATATATGCATGTCAGCCAGAACCAACTTGTTAAGACAATGCTTTGATAAAACAAAATACACACAATAAACCAGTATTTTTTTAATATCTACTCGTTATTATGGGAATCAATCAGATTTTACATGGTGTGAACTTTGATTAAAACTTTCAAAGGGCATTTTTAACAAGGGTCAAAATTTGGTTTTAACTTTTTTATCCATAGAAGTTCCATTTCATCAATCACTTTTTTTCTCTCTTATTCACTTGAAGATAAGTTCTTTTTTGTAAAAAAGAATTAACATTTTTACATGGGTGGTCCCAAAGAGAGAATATGGGTTTGGATGATATTGATCAGAGAAATAAGAGGTGTTACTTAGATTGTATAAAAAAAATTTTTATCTTACATCAGTATTTAGTGTTAAATTGGTTAACGTGATTAGTCATTGTGGGAACCAATCAGATTTTACATGGTGCAAACTTTGACCATTAAAACTTGCAAAGATGTTTTTAACAAGGGTCAAAATTTGGTTTTTTGCATAATAGAAAATTCTTCCACTGATTTCACTTCTTTTTTGTAAAAAAGGATTACCATTTTTACATGGGCGGCCCCAAACAAGAGATTGGTAATGAAGTTGTTCATTTAGTAAAAAATTTACCAGCTAATAGAACTTTTAATATATACATGGATAATTACTTTACAAGCATCAATTAATTCAAATACTTGAGGGATAGAGGAATTGGTGCATGTGGTACAGTTTGTAAAAATTCAGCAAAATTTCCTAGTGTTTTGAAACCAAAAGTGAGGACAGACTTAATTTGGAATACACTTTCTGGAGTTGTGGTTGATGAAGTTTTGGCTCTTTTATGGATAGATAATGGTCCTGTAACAATGCTTACTACAATTCATGAAATTACAAGTCCAAATTCTCTATTCTGAAATAATTCCTTGAATTCATCTCTAGCTTTGTCAATATCTCTGAATAATTAATTTTTCACAATGTTGATAATTTCTTCACTTGATTGCAAGTTGCCTACAAGAAAAGAAAGAATTAAGCATAAAAGTTTTCTCAAATATGGGTAATCTTGTTGTGATAACTTTCAAATTAACTACCCACCTTCCTAATATAGACATCTATAAGGTCAATGATTATCACATGGCTTTAAAAGTTTATAACTCCTTGTTAAAAAAGAAGGAAAAAAGTAAGCTGATAGAATTAAAACTAAATATCTAAGCTTCATTTCCATCGGTTTACTTATTAGAAAATCTTTGAGTTATAAGGCGGACCATTTTATATTAATATTAATATGTCTATTCGTAAAAATTTTGGAATGATTTTCCTTGTGATTTCCTAAAAGGCTGATGATTTTTTCGTGATACAGAAAATGACTTGTTGAATAAAATTCTGAAATTTTGTAACACAACAGGAAAAATAATTTTTTCTCAACTCACATATAATAATAATAAAAAGAAATTGAAAATGGATTTTCAAAATCGACCAGGTTGGCATCATATTACATTTGGAAAAAAAACATAGAACCTTTCTTTTAATTTATTTGATTTTTTTGTTTTATTTGCAAATATATAGGATCAAAGGTTGGTAGTGGTGGTGTAGCTGGATATTCAGAAACAAATGTAGATCGACGTGAATGTCTCTGAAAACTTGCATTGGAAACAATTGATCTGAATAAGGATCCATATTTTATGAAAAATCATCTTGGTTCTTATGAGTGTAAACTTTGTTTAACTTTACACACTAATGAGGGTAGTTATCTTGCTCACACTCAAGGTAAAAAACATCAAACAAATCTTGCTCGTAGAGCTGCACATGAAGCAAAAGAAAACAACAATATACAACCTGCCTTACAAAATCAACCAAAAATCCAAATAAAGAAAAATTTAGTAAAAATCGGTAGACCAGGTTACAAAGTGAGATTTAATCACCAGACAACTTGGTTTATTGTTCCAAATTCAGTACCCTGAAATTGGATTGGATGTTATACCTCATCATCGATTCATGTCAGCTTATGAACAAAGAGTTGAACCACCAAACAAAGCACATCAATATTTGCTTTTTGCTGCTGAACCATACAAAGTAAAGAGGTTGATAAGGGCGAAGGAAAATTCTTTACACACTGAGATCCTGATTCAAAACAGTTTTCATTACAATTCTTTTTCAATAATGATAGACTGGGAATGTACTCTGAAGGTGTTCCACCTGGAATGGAAAGACCTCCTATTGTGAATCCATTTAATGCACCAACTATGCGTGGACCTACTTATGTATAGCTATTATGGTAATAACATTATTGATTTATACTTTTTTTATATATCATAATTATAAACACAAATCAATATAATCAATTAATAAATTTGTATTCTTTTTTTTTTTTCTTGATTTGAAAATAAAATTAACAATGAAGATTTTTTAATAGAAAAATATATATATATATATACATATATATATTCAAGTCTATATTAAGAATGTTTTTATTGACAAGAAAGTATTCTTTTTGAATTAAAAAAAACATGTGCATATCAACAAAATATTGAATTTTCGTAATGAATGCATTTTTCTAAGAATGCAGGGTTTGCTGGTGATTTTTTGGTAAGTTTATGACGATAAGAACATACATATTTAGATGGGCCTAATTTAACAGAAGATTCACAATCATACAATTCATCATCTGATGACTCTTCATATTCATTATCTGGTATAATCAATTTATCTCGTAATCTCCCTATATTTTTAAATGATAGAACCTGATTAAAAACAATTAAATTAAATAGTAACAATGATCTTGATAATTATTTTTTATATTACTTGATTTTCTTTTGTCTGGATCATCTTCATCAGAATCTTCATATGAAAACTTCCCCCCTGGTATTTCTAATTTGTTTTTTTTTTTTTTTTCAAAATAATTAATAAAATTTCAACAAATATACATAAAAATAATTTTATATATACCTTGTAATGGTACACTAGGTGTATGCCGTGATCTATCTAGATTTTTAAATACCAAATTCCTAATTAAGAATTTGAATTAGTAAATCAGTTTGTCAAAAAAAATTTTTACCAACCAAGTTGTCAAAAAAAAAAATATATTATTTTTCTGAGGAAAAAATTTTTAATTAAACATTCTTATAGTAAGTAGTACTACATTGTTTTTTCTAAATATTTTCTTGTATTTTTATTTTCCATGTTGCTTGACAATACATCTAGTTTATACTCTGGTCCAAAATAATCATGAAAGTCATAGTCAGTTCTTGGTGGCAATTCTAAATAAATAAATAACAAATAAATTATTCATGCATTATATGTATGTATGCATGCATCTTTGTTCCAACAACATGTATATTTATGCATAGAAAAACCTGGTCCAATTTCTTGTCCAACTACCACTCCAGTTTCATATGCCCAAGCTCTAGACACATTACGTATAGTATAACCACCTCCTCCTAATATTAGCATTGGTATATTGAACTTTTTTACAAATCGTACACAATGTGCATGCCCTTTAAATATTATTTTTATTTATTATTATTTATTTTGATAAAGGGTTTTATTTCATTATTATTAACATTTTTTACCTTTGGATGATAAATTGAAACAACCAAGCCGATCACCACTTAATGAATCGGCTCCACATTGTAAAACAATTACTGAAGGTTGGTACCATCCAATTACATATTCCACGACCTAAATAATAATCAATATATATTTTTATGTTAAATCATAAATATAACTTTTTATATTTTAAATATAAAAAAAATTTCTATTTACTGGCTCAAACACAAATTTATATGTTTCATCATCAACCCCTTCTCTTAAAGGGAAATTTACTGCGTAATATTTTCCTTTGCCAATACCAACATCCTGTTTATGTTTAAAATAAAGGAAAAAATGAATCAAATATTGCAATATTAAAAAAGAATCAAGACTGTCTGAAAAAAAAAAATTTTTAAAAAAGAAAAATTCATATGATTCATTCTTAATTATGATAGAATAAAAACAAACATACATTGACATCTCCAGTTCCTGGAAAAAATTCTCCATAATTATGAAAACTCAGCGTCATCACTCGATCTGTTTTATAAAATGCCTCTTCTACACCATCTCCGTGATGAATGTCAATATCTATATAGAGTACACGTTGATGAAACCTGTTGTTATCAATCAAAAAGAAAAAATGTTATTTTTTAACCTTTAAATTTAAAATATTTTTCCATACTAGAATATATTATATTTTTTTATACCGTAATAATTCTAAAATAGAGATAACTATATCATTAACATAACAAAAACCACTAGCTTCTTGTTTTTTTGCATGATGTAACCCTCCTGCCCAATTAACAGCTATATCACATAATCCATAATTTAACCTTGCCGCACCCTCTTTTTTAACAAATGAAACAACAATAATAATTTGATTAATATACATGGTTTTCCAAAGGAAATAATATTTTTTTTGCTATATGGGCTTCCCTTTGAAAAATAATTACCTAAAGATCCTCCTGTTGCTATTTTACAATAATCAAGTAATCCCATAAACACTGGACAATCTTCACCAACATTGACTAAATGATTTATTTTTATCATTTATATTAAAAGCATAATACGTTAATTTGTATTTTTGACCTTTAGTAAACTAAGAAAAAGCATTATAAAAAATAATAAAATTACATACATTTAGTACATTCTTTAAAAAAATAGTCCTTATTATCTGGTGTAATTTTTTCCAAAAAATTTATATAATCATCTGTGTGGAATTGTGTTAATTCATCAAATGTACTTGGTCTAGGTCTCTATAAAAATTTTATTTTTAATTATATTTATTTTTTTTTTTTTATTTTTTTTAAAAAAATTTAATTTGAATAATTTACTTAAGGATTCAAAATAACAACAATAATGATATAAAGAACTGGTAGAAGCACAATTCACATAAAGTTTTAAGGTTCAAAATAGATAGGATACAAAGATTTCCATTTTCTTGCACAATCCATATTTCATAACTAGATCATGAGTCATCTGTACTCTTAATGTTTTCATTGGATGATTTGAACCATGATCAAACCCAATGATATCATCTATATACAAAATAATTAAGAATTGCTCCCATCAATATATATATAAATAATCACTCGATGTTTTATCAACAACTCCTTTCTGTAAAGTTTACAAAAAATAATATCAGATAGTTACTTACAATCATAAAAATAGTTTATTCTTTTTTTTGTTTCAGTAGTCATACTTTTTTTAAAAATATCGTTCTATCTTTTAGAATATTTTCTTTTCTATCTAAATATTTAATTAGTTTTTTTTATAAGATTAGGTGCTACTATTGTACTTAATTTTTTTGTCAATTGGTCATTGATCATTATTTTAACATGGTGAAAAGTATTCTTTGTTATCACAATTGTGTTACATCATCAGAGTGAATTAGTGTTACATCAGATTAATTGGTGTGATGTGATGTGATTTGATTTTTAGTCTTATTTTTTCTAAGAATTGAATGAAAAGAAAACTATTATATTAATCAATTCACTTCACTCACTATAAATAAAAAATAAAAAAATTATATTCCGCATCAGAAAAAATTAGTATTCCAAAAAATTTTTTTTAATAATAATATATAATTTTCTTGTGTGTAAATAAATAATTTATTATTTAATAATAACAATTCTTATACATCTAATATTATAATTAATCAAGTAATAATCTTGTAAATAGATATTTTGAAATCATAGATAGGTATATATATATATAATGATGATAATAAAATATTTTTAAGCAAATAGGAAAAAGTTTTGCAACTTGTTAATTTGTAATATTTAGCCCTACCTAATATATATGTGTCTATTGTTCTATTAACTGTATATGTCTTTAACTTATATTCTATGGTTTTTCATATAATCTTCTCTATACAAATGCTTTTTACGCTATTCTTTTCAATCTAGTTTGTGAAAAGTGTGTGAGTGTGAAATTTGTTGGAATACATTCAAAATTTTGTAAATTGATCAAAAATTGACTTTAACGTATTGTTAGCAAGTAACTTTATTTCGAAATGAGTTTTGTATTGAAGTGCCAAATTTTTTTTTATTTATAAAAAAAAGTTTATTATTATTTGAAAGTGAATAGATGAAAAATATTTTATCATTTCTGTGTGATTACCATAAAGGTGTGACATTTGTATAAATTTAATGTTAATAACTAATATATAAATCGGAAATGATTTACGAAGTTGCACGCAAATAAAATCGGAAAAACTGATCAAGTATTCAAAAACCAGTCCAATTTCATATTTTTATTCAATCACCAATACCAATAAAATAATTGACTCACGGAAAATATCTCAAACAACGGAGAAATAAATATTCTAACATTCTAAAATGTAACAAATCTTTTAATTCTTAGATTTAATTTAAACGAAGGAATTTAAATGATTGGATCACTTTAGAAAATAATTCTACACAAAAGGTTCAAGTAATACATTTAATTAGAAATCGGAGAACTAGATGATAAACCCTTTAAAATGTATAAATAACGTTGTAATTTTCTTAATTTCATGTATCATCGTCAATATCATCACAATCATTAGTTAATCATCTTTTAATCATAATAAATAACACTGTCATTAACCTTGTCCTTGTCCTTGTCCTTGTCATTGTCCTTGTTGTCTTCGAATATTATATTTTCGTAATGATAATAAATCTATCTCCAACAACGAATTCATACTAATCCCGTGCATAATTATTTTATCTTATTTTATATTTGTCTCTATTATTTTTATTATTTTTTTATTTCTTTTCTTTTCTTTTAGTAAGGTAATATTTAATAAAACTTTTTAGTAGTTTTAGAGACGTACGTGACTTGGTAGCAAAGAGGAAAACGGCGAGAAGGGCACCCACCAAGAAACGTGATCAGGACACATATTGTAAAATCTAAAGAAGATATTATTTAGTATTTCTTATATAAGAAATTGTTTAATGATAGTAAAAGATAGTTTTGAGAGTAAAGCATAAATATACACTCGCGGAAATTGTTGTTGGGATTTAGTATAAATAAATTGGAAGAAATTGTATTAACATTGTTGGCATATTATCATAAATAAAATCTAGAGATTTGTGTGAGACGCGGATTTTGATCTCACAATATGCAACTTACTGTGCCTTTTGAGAAAAAATTTCCAATCAAAAATTGCGTGGTCACGTGAATGTTACTGATCATTCTATAAACGGGAAAAATCGGTAATGACAGTCACAGGACATTTCCCGCCGATCTATGGCAATAACAAAATGTTGTACACTTTTGTCCAACATGGTATCATGTAATTTCAACTAGACACATGATGGTCAACATCCCAATAGAAAATGTTGTATAATAGTTATCCTTGTTTATAAAAAAATGTTGTATACACAGTGAATCTCAATTTAGTGAACTTCAATTTAGCAGATACTAATTAAAAATCTCAGTTTTACAGATAAAGTTCAAAGAACAGTTCCATAATAAACCTTAATAAAAACCTTCTCAATATAGCAGATATTCTGGTTTAACAGATTTTTCCCTAATTGCCCAAACTATCTGTTAAATTGAGATTCACTGTGAATTAGCTCCAATGAGTTCATTTATTTAGTAATTCTTCTGAAATTTATTTATTTGATTCAATGTGTTGATAAAAGCTGTAAATTTAATGTGATAAACATGAAACTAATGTCAACCAAAGTTGGGTGACGAAATGTCTCCTTTTTGTCACATGCCGAAAATAAATGTGACGAAATAGGTTTTCTACACTTTGAGTAATTTGACAAAAGTGACAAAATGATGAATGTGACAAAATCAACAAAACAATAAAATAAACCAATTATTTTGTAGATTTTAAATTATGGAGTAAATAAAATTCATGATGTCAAATTCTAATTCACCCAATTCACCAATTCCTTCTCAATCATCATCATATAATATGAATTTGCAACATTAAAATTAGATAATATACCTGAAAGTTCATTTAACAATAATCAAGAATTAGCTACAGGATGTCCTGTGTTTGATGTATGGTTACACTCCATTAAAATAGTAAATGAAGTATCATTTCAACAATCAGAATCATCAGATGATTCTACAGATTTTGAAGAAAGTTATGAAACCAGCAATAGATGTGAAGCAGCAATTCCTACTAAAACATTGTGTACAAAAATTAAGTATCCAACCAAGAAACATGATTTACAATGTAAAAAAATGTTTAAAATTAAATTTTTGTTTTAATTAAATCTAAATAAAATTGAATTTTATATTTCGTCATCTTTATCACAATTTGACTTTTGACTTTACCCTTTGTCACTTTTCATCACTTTCGTCACATTTCGCCACATGTGCCCCATTTGACGAAATACTTTTTACACTCCAAAATATTTTTGTCACCCAACCTTGATGTCAACATTAAACAATTATATTTTGTTTTAGGATTATATTCAAGAGATGCCTTAATAAATAAATAGAAATAATAATAATAATAAATACACATATAAACAATTAATTAGCTAATTAATTAAAACTACCTTGGCTTATCAAGATCTTCATTCATGGCAACTAAAGCAAAATCTTTGTTTAAATAAGTAATACTGTATGTTTGGCCAAAGTAACATTAGAAGTTTAAGAATTGCCATTAACATTCAATTGAGTAAGAGAAGGAGACTCAATTATTGAATGGCTGAGGTCATTCTACAATTAACTTTTAAATCTAGTTCATAATTTGCTTTCCCAGAATATTTTATATCATCAGGTACAAGTTTTTACCATCATTAGCTGTTGAATTTATTGCTGAAGAAGATCCATCCATATCTTTTTGCAAAAAATCATATTTTTCCATTCTCTGAGTCATGTTTAAGTTCAGCAACATAAGTGATTTTGATGACTACGTCTGATTACTTTTTAGATTTCCAATTGAGCATTGGAATACATCTGATAATTATTCTTCAAGCAAATAAACATCCTTTCTATAATAATAATAATTAGTCTATTAACTAATGCACATATATATTATAAATTATTACATCAACAGCTTAATCAATTCTTTCACAACACCTTTAACTTTATATTTGCCATCAATTTCTGCTTCAAAATCACAAATTGCTGCAGCTTCATAAATTTTTACATCTTTATATGTTTGATAGATTACAACTAAACAATAAAAAAAAAATAAGAAATGATAATAAATGTCATAATTAAACATATTTGTTTGCTTGCTAGTTACCTTGAGTAATCTTATCAACAATGTTAAAATCCAAAGAGGGAATATTGTTAGTAAAAATTATAATTATTAATTGATTATTCATTAATTGTGAATAACAAACCATTTACATCACTTTAACATTTTGTAAAGGAATTAGTTTCTCTTGTAAATCAAGAGAAACATAAATAAGACCATAAGTTTCCAGAATCCTTTCATATTTTATAAACTTATAAACTGTTGCAGAATGTAAATTTGTGAAGTATGTTTCTGAACTTGATCAAATCCAATAAAATAAACTTTTATATTGATGATAAATATTATTATTATATTGAAAATGAATAGCAGTTAATATCTCAATCAGTATTAAAGTTAAATTATTATAACAAGTAAAAAAGAAAGTAAATTAAAAATATGTAACAAATGGTTACATGGCGTGAGGCAATGTGTTATTGACTTATCCAAGCATACTTTGCAATTGGTGATATTATTTTCACGTCTATTATTTATTTTTTTGATTTTAATTGTTTCATTCTCTTCTAGTAACGATTCGTTAATGTCCATCTCGGTGATTAATTTGTTCTTTAATTTTGATATATGTTCACTTTGTTTGTAAAACCCACCAAACTCTTTTATGTAATTTAAGATGCTTTGAGGACAGCACTAAGGTTTCTGGTCGAAGTTACTTCTCTTAGTAATATTATTATTCATAGTGACGGACAACAAAAAGAAAATTCTTTTTAATTAACAGCTAATATTCCTTAAAAATTTATTAATATAGTTTGCGATCAGGCTGGTTCAAAAATAATGTAATTTGTCCAAATTGGATATTTTTAAAAAGAAATACTTAAAACACTATTATTGAGGGTTATTCTTTTTTAAACAAAAAGAAACCACCGAGAAAATCTTTTTCTCCTATGGAGATTTTTTTGATGAACAGAACTCTGATGATGTCTTCTGTATAAATATATATATACTGTAAACCAAGATTAATAAAAACAATTTTTAACAATAGTGATTATAATTATTATTATAATTATTATTATTAAAAGTAGATTTCTTATGTTTTAAAATCCAGGGATGCTTCAAGATTTCTTCCAAGGGTAATCGTTTATCGGGATTTCTTTGGAGAAGCTATTTGATTTATTTTTTTGTGCATGTTCGTATGCGTGAAGAAAATAAAAGTATTTGATAAAAGAAATAATATACTCTTTTTTTGTTTTGTAAATAAGAAAAAATTTTACCGATCCAATTAAATGTTTAGCATCTTCTGAAATGTGTTCAGGCATTTTAAAATCAACTTTCCTAATTCTTTTATATGTAGCACGATAGCCAGTTTCTTCCTCAAATGGTGGAGAGCCAGACAATAATTCATAACACAAAACACCAAGGGACCACAGATCAATTTTTGAATTATGAGTTTGATACTCGATTATTTCTGGTGGAAGGTAATCCAATGTGCCACAAAATGTTCTACGTCTTTATTAGATAGGATATGTTAGTATAATGGATGTTATGGACAATAATGATATTAGTGCATATATTATTACATTACCTTTGACTGGGAGCATGTACTGACCAACCAAAATCTGCTATTTTAAGTTCATCATTTGAACCCAATAAAAGATTTTCAGGTTTGATATCACGATGTATAATATGCTTTTGATGAAGATAAGCTAAAGCACCTGCCATTTGAGCAATATACTAATAATTATTATTTGTATATATTTATTTTTGAATTAATATCATTATCAATATCCTCCTTACACACTAATTAAATTGAATGAAATGTACAAACCCTTGATGCGCGTTTTTCAGTAAATCTAGTACATTGTTTTAACTGCTTATAAAGCTCTCCTTTAGCTGCATATTCAAGAATTAGAAATACGTGTGTTTCATTATGGAAATGCCCATATAGACGTAGAACATTTGGATGTCTATAATGATAATCAATATGGCAATTAATATAACAAAATTAATAAACCTATATCAATAATTAAATATTTACTTGTCTACCTTATATTACTTTGTATTTCAATCTCTCTTCTTAATTGTTTTTCAGCCTTGGCATCAATAATTTCTGATATAGACATTACTTTCAATGCGACAATATATCCACTAGTCTTCTCTCTTGCAAGATAAACACGTCCAAGTTGTCCTTTACCAAGTCCACATCCAATATCAAAATTGTTTAATGTCCAAATCTTTGGTTCATTATGGCTATTGATCGAGTGGACAAGTGATCAGATTGATTAATAGGCTCATTGATCCACTCATTGACTTTGCTACCCAAAATAGTGAAAATTACCTAATATTCGAAGTAGAAGAGGAAGGAGAGGAATGCGAAGGTCCGGAAGATAGTTCAAAAGATGAGCAAGACGACAATGAGCCTCCAATTATTAAATCTTTTCTATTATCTTCGTTTTTTTTAGTAGGAAGGTCAATTGATCTAATAATATTATTATTACTATTATTAATAGAAGAGGATGGCTTGGCATTTTCTTTGTTTTTAGCTTCACGTTCGATTCTTAAATTATTATTACTGTTTTTGTTTTTGATTTTGTTGTTGTTAATTTTCAGTTGTTGATGTTGCTGTTAATATAAAAATTACTAACCTATTAATCAAATCAAATAATGCTCAACACAATATATAAAATAAATGTAAATACATTACCAAGGTCTTTGTAATAGGAAAGTGATGAAAAGAAAACCCCATTTTGGATGAATTCATTATTATGTGTACTGTTCTAAAAGAATGAATAATAATAATCTGATAAATTTTTTTTGTTTGCCGCGAATTAGATGTGGTATCACATGAATTTATAATCTACAATTCTTTGTAGATCTGAAATGAGAAAAATGAGAAACTAAATTAAAAAATAGCAAAAGATTAATAGATATTTGGCGTGTCTAACAAAGTTAGATTTGTCTGTTGTTAACTGGAGAAATAAGTGACGCGTACATCTGTAACTCTAAAGAAAATCAATATTATTATTTATAAACTTTATTATTGTTATAACTTTGTTAAAATTTATTATTGTACAATATTTTGAAATATAAATTAAAAGTCTCTAAATACAATATGGATTTTGTCATTTTACTTTACTTGACCAATTTATTTCTTTTAAATTTGGATCATCCTAATCACCGAAAAAAAAAAATGATATGCTTTAAATTTAATATTGTCAAAATCCAAGTTTACAAATTAAACTTTAATCTTGACAAATTTTTGTTCTCATCTGACTCCCCAAAGAAGCACGGATGAATTCTCCTACGCAAGCTAGAGAATAATCAAATGATGACGAATACCCAACCTGCAACAGACATAATGCCTGTTATTAATAATAATAACATAAAATCGTCGGGTAACTCTCTAGAATGAGGGATTATAAAAGAGACAGAATTCTTTTGAAGGAATTACCTTGATGGTTTAATATGATCCTACACTTTATTTGGTTCAATCACGTTGCCAAGAGACACTTAAGTCACGCTTACAAATTTGACAAAAAATTTATTATATATTTTTTAATCTTTTCATCACCCAATTCCTTTGTCACTCAGGTGTTAGCTGAGGCTATTTCTTTGGCGGTCCTTTTACGCTTTTGCTGACGCTATTCCTTAAAAAATGACTTAAAAAGATTAATTGATGTAATTATCAAAGATCCACCAACAAATTGTCACCAGAAAATAAATAATTACTTCCTTTGCTCGTTAATAGCCAATTTAAATATAATAAACTCGATCTATTTTTAATTTTTGCCAAGAATTGTTGTGTGAATGCCTATTATTAAAAAAAAAATTATTATTAGCATTATTTTAAGGCATAAATGAATAAAAATGTAAATAAACAAGTGAAAAAAAAATTTTTTTCTTGATTAACATATAAATTGATCTGACAAGGGATATTCTGTTCAAGGCTGATAGTCATTGTATATCAGTTATACTTGTCACAAACAAGACTCAGCACAAAATTAATTTATTATATTAGAAAGTTTATAATTACAGCAAATTTTTTAATAATTACAGTAATTTCAATTTTAAATTATAAAAATTTTTCGCCCAAATTATATTTTCTTTCTAGATTACTAGATTCAGATTTACTTGCCATAACAATATATCTAATAATTATTGTGATGATATTATAAGAATAATATTAATATAATACATTAATTGCAACATATTATCATGATAGATCACTTACCCTTTATTGGCAACTATTCCCCTGCATTTAATCTCCACAGAATATTTTATTACCCATTGTGGCACATATTCATTCTCATCAGAACCATCTAACACTTTATCAGTGGTGGCTTTTTTCATTGAATCAGTATATCCCTTTATAATCTTGTGAAAATTCTCTTGTGGTAAAATTACTGATAATTGATATTATATTATTATTATTATTAGCAAGGTATCATTTTAATTAATTGTTTTATAAAAAAATTCACATAAAAATAATTAAATGAATTTACCATCAGAATCACTATGAGTCAATAATTCTACATCATTTTTCTTGCCAAATTCAATTAATTCACGAGATACAGAACAAAGGTTCTTTATATTAATCTGATCGATCTTTGGTTGAACCTGCAAATAAATAAATTATTAAATATATAAATAATTTTTTAAAGTATAATTCATATCGCAATAGAAATAAAATTCTTCTCACCTTTGTAGCATCAATTAGTTTCTTCAATCTATTCATATTAAATTCACTTACACCTAATTTGCCAATATATCTATCATCATATAATTTTTCTAATTCTTGCCATACATTTATTATATAATTAAAATCCACTTTTTTTTCTTCTTTTTTTTCTTCTTTGTTTTCTGTGTTTTCATCTTCAATCTTCTCATCTTTCTCATCTTTCCCATCTTTCCCATCTTCCCCTACTAGTTGATCTTTATCGGTGTATAAAAGGCCACTGCATTTAATCTCCACAGAATATTTTATTACCCATTGTGGCACATATTCATTCTCATCAGAACCATCTAACACTTTATCAGTGGTGGCTTTTTTCATTGAATCAGTATATCCCTTTATAATCTTGTGAAAATTCTCTTGTGGTAAAATTACTGATAATTGATATTATATTATTATTATTATTAGCAAGGTATCATTTTAATTAATTGTTTTATAAAAAAATTCACATAAAAATAATTAAATGAATTTACCATCAGAATCACTATGAGTCAATAATTCTACATCATTTTTCTTGCCAAATTCAATTAATTCACGAGATACAGAACAAAGGTTCTTTATATTAATCTGATCGATCTTTGGTTGAACCTGCAAATAAATAAATTATTAAATATATAAATAATTTTTTAAAGTATAATTCATATCGCAATAGAAATAAAATTCTTCTCACCTTTGTAGCATCAATTAGTTTCTTCAATCTATTCATATTAAATTCACTTACACCTAATTTGCCAATATATCTATCATCATATAATTTTTCTAATTCTTGCCATACATTTATTATATAATTAAAATCCACTTTTTTTTCTTCTTTTTTTTCTTCTTTGTTTTCTGTGTTTTCATCTTCAATCTTCTCATCTTTCTCATCTTTCCCATCTTTCCCATCTTCCCCTACTAGTTGATCTTTATCGGTGTATAAAAGGCCATGAAAATGAATGATCAATGTATCCAAGTAATTAATACCAAGTAATCTAAATAAATAATATAATGATTGTGAAATGAATGATTTCTCTGATGTTAAAAGAAATAATTTAGCTAAAAATAGAATAAAGAAAATATTAACGATTTTTTTTTTTACAAAAAACAAAAATTCATACAAATATAATATATTGTATTTTATTAACCTGTGATTTCGTAATCACTTCTATCATCAGTGATTTTATGATCTAAGAGTGATGGTTCGGGAATTTCAATTATGTCCAAATCAAGATTATACTTGAGTATCACCGTTTTTAATAGATTCTCTAAAGAACTAATTAACTAAAAAATATTTAAATTATTAATATCAATATAAAATTTTTTTATATCATATCAATAATAATAGTAACTTACTTCGTTGTTATCCTTTGTACCAGGAAATTGTTTCATTAAATTTCTTGTATAAATTACAATTCGATCAGAATTTTGAATATTGTCTTTATTCATTTTTTTATATTTGCTATAAAATATTATTAATATTGATTATATATTTAAAAAGAAAAAAAAATCAAATGTTAATTACCAATTTTATTAATCGTATTACGTGATGACATGATGTTACATAATAATACACGTGGAAAAGTTTAAAATTTAAAATTTAAATAAAAATTCCCTTTAACTTAAAGATAATAAAGTTCATATAAATATATTTGGAATTCTTAGCATGATCGACAATGATAAGGTGCAATACTGATCGGCAAGCCAGTTGAATTACAAATTTTTGTTTCGTTTCACATGTCATCATTTTAATGGTTTGTTTTCTTCAATAGGAGGCATTTTGTGGTTTCAAATTTTGATACTGAAAAAAAAAAGAGGCATCGCAGAACTTTTTATTTAATTGCTTGAAAATGGTATTGAATTATGTTATCTAATCGATAACAGTTGCGAGAAGCGTGCAACATAAAATTATTTCGGTAGATCAATCACATGCTGATTATAAATAATTTTTTTAAATAAATTTTAGTTAAGTTCAACAAGTTCAACTATATTACCTATTCAACAAAGTCTTCTGAAGTCTACCATCTATCCCGATTCACATCAGGCTTTATTACTACACAAGCATCCTCTTCTTCAACTTTTAATTGGCCTTCAACTTCTGTTAGAAATTCACCTACATGAAGCTAATTATTGAAACTATGAATTTTTTTTAATAAATTGAACATTTTTCGATGGCACTGATATATTATAATATACTAATACCACGAGCATACATTTATTTAGTATAGCATGATAGGTGTAGGTTGTGTAGTCCAGTAGCTAGTTTATGTCACAATTTTATATGTTATACAATTAGTATGATATTTCCATCTTATCCAAAAATTTAAATAAATTTCTTTGTCACAATAGATGAATCTTTGTTCGATTATTATGAATGGGATTTTGAAAATTCTGATGGAAGAGATTCGAAAGGTTTTGCATTTATTATGATCATATATTTAATTGTTTAAATAAAATTTTATCGATTAACACTTTATTATTTAGAATAATTCCAACAATTCTAATTCCAATGACAGGGTATTAAAAGAAGAAATTGCATTATTCACGTCAGGGCTAATTAAATGCAAAGACCATAACTTACGTGACAACTCTTAAATAATGCTGTTTTGCAAAATTCCATCTGATATTTAGAACATGGCAGCCCGTGATACCAATCTGCTCATGCGAGAGCAATTCATTATGGAAAAAACCAGTCTTTTTAAATGCTGCCATTTTATAGTAAATTTTACTATTTTTTGGTTTTATATATTTAATAAACAATATTTGATAATATTTTTATATATACAGACAGATCTTGTAAACTGGATGGTGAAATGTTCATGCAATGTTGGTAGTAGCACTACTGGGAGGAATAATGGGCTTGAGGCTTGTACAACAAGATCCATTCGACAAGGTATTTACTTCCATACACCCGAGACAATGATGCAATAAACGTAAATCGAATATTACAAATAACAATAATAATAACAATAATAAGGCAAGAGCTGATAGAATTGATTTTTAAAGAAAAAGAACTTGAAATAAAATGTAAAGAATTAATTAGAGTTGGAACGTTAAAAGACTAGATATGAATTAGAGCTCAAGAAAAAAGAATTTGGACCAAGATTTAAATAATAATAATTTTATTATGACACCATTTATTCCAAAAGATAGTTCCTCTTTAAATAATTAACGTTATCTCTGACCGAAATAAAAATTTTCGCGCAACATGATAAAAAGTTTATTATATCAATTTTTAATTCAGATCATACAAGAAAATTCGTTCTATATAGCCATTGGACTATATGTGAACTTTGCATAAAAAGTGTGTTAATATGCACTTTGATTACTGCCATACACAATTAAACTACCACGATTTCAAATAATTCTTCTTGCACTGGTCAATGTTAAATACTTTTGCAAAGTATTAGTAAATATTTTCTTTGCAAGTGTCCTGGAATTCTAAACACCCGCATTGTTCTCGAGCGAAGAGATAATTTTGAAGAAAAGTTTTATTCAATTACAATAGGGAAAATTCGGAAGAAAAGAATACGGCGCGCAGGACTTTATAACTTTTTGTTATTTTTTAAAAACCCAAAGTCAAAAACTTATGACTTGTAAGATCGGCAATTACGGAGCTTTTCAGCCATAATGTGAAACAAGCATTCCGATTAATGTTACAACTATCACTTGGAATATTTTGGATTGGAGATCATACCTGCTTTGCATAATAAAAGTTTGAGATGTTTATCTCTTTAAAAGTTTCAAAAATCAGATAATGATTCTTTTTCTATTAAAAAGCTTTCCCATATAATTAATAGATGATGGCGGTGTGACTGTTATATATAACAATTATATGATATCATTATATTGTTGTAAAAAAATTTTTTTAATAACAGTCAAACGCCCATCACTACATATGATTTCTTTAGAATAAAACAGAAAGTCTTTGTTCTAGCTTGTTTGGTTATCGAGCCTTGTCATTTTATTTTATTTTTGGTGATTGTATTCATAACTTTAAACTACTATAACTTTTTTTTTTTCATATTAACACGATCTAAAACTTATTGTTAAGTTATGGCTAGAAAACTCTATCTTATTTGGGTTATTGAGACTTGGCATTTTAAAGATTTGGCATCATATTTGAAATTTGGCCGTGCTGCGCAACAAGAGGATGACTCGCGCCATATATGTAATATAAAAAATTATTTATAAACTCCCTTGTTAGATTTTTGTTAAACGATGAAAGTAAAGAACACTCGACAAAAAAAAAATCATCATCGTCCTAATTTGACTTAAACATCATGGAAATTGCAAGATTTCAAAATTTATCCATAAAAATTTTTTTACGGGAAAGATCTACCGAAAGCATGCTAATACTAACACTAATACAGAAATGGTACGAAATCTTTTTTAGTGAAAGAGCGCATTTTCCCGTAGGTTGGTTTTTTTGTACATACTAATAGAACACAAACGGAATTTATATTTCCCGCAAGTCCGTATTAGTATTATAATTAGTATTAGTATTAGTATTAGTATTTGTATTCTGTATAATACATTTTCTGTACGGTAATTACCGGAAAACGTATTAATATTAATATGGAAAAACAGTAATCCTCCGTATGTTTTCCGGAATTATTTGTATTAGTAATAATAATAGTAATAGTAATAATAACAGGGAACTCCATTTGGTGTAGCATCATCAAAGAAAAAATATATTCAAAACAATAACTGATGCCTATAAAAGGCGCACATTTCCGTGTTAAATATGAGAACGGTACCGGCATGGAAACACTAATGAATCCATATTGATACTGAACATTACTAATAATAATTAAACTGTGCGTACTTTATATACGGAAATAGCATGTTACTGACGATCCAATCAGACTGTAACAGTATAGTAAATTGTGAGTGTATCATAGATAGATATTAATTACTTTATTGTTCTATCATACTTTTGGTTATAATAACGTGTTACGGCCACTGCTCGCGTTACTAACGTTATCGAAAAATAAATCAATATTAACAATGTTAAAATCCTACTATATCTATTGTGTTACGATCGTGAATTCGCGTTACCTATATATCACCATATTATTATACAAAATCAGAGATCTCCTTGTTAGATAAACAAAATAGCTGCTACATTTTGTTATTATTATTCCATTGATAAACATGAACAATACACAATTGCGCATTATAGTTATAAAATGTTGTTGATTGTTATAGTTGACGCCATTTAAATAAAGCCATCACTGGTATTAGTTTAGTGATTTGTTAATATTATTTTAAATTCCTCTAACTTACAATCGTTGTCACTTGTTACACAATCCTGAAAGGAATTTAATTATTACAATCGAGATCACGTAGCATCATCAAAAACGATACTTTATTGATAAGCTCTTGATTTTGTTCATTATATATATAGTATGGTATGCTTGCAATCAACTTCTTATTTCATTCCCTGTATAAAATATTTTGTAATATATATAAAAATAAATTAAAAAATATATATTTATTTTACAAGGGTTGTTATAATTTTGTCTCGATATATAAAATAGCTTAAATAAAGATATGTATTAGTATATTTTTTTATCAATTTATAAAAAAACATACCTACTATTTATATTATATGATCTGCGTCCCTGCCCAACCCAAATAACAAGGGTAATAGTAAAGAGTAAAGTATCATACTCGAATAATAATAATGATGACAACATCAACTTTTGTTATACCAGCTAAAGTATAGGATAATTTGTAATTATTAATATTCTTGAATATGAATTATTTTTATCTAACGTTATTTTTTTTCTATTCGCATAGCCGATAATAAAAGGCTTTGTCGCATTTTCACCAATGGCATTGAATTATGTTGAATGAAGGCACTGCTGTCGTCACCACCTATGATAATTAATAAAAGACATGGAAGTTCAGATCATTCATTACCTAGAAACTCGAAAATTTATTAATTATTGTAACGTAATTATGAGTTTAACAATTCCACCAATAATTATGTATATAATATATTAAAATCAATCGAGAAATATTGGTTGTATTAGCCTTATGAATTCATAAATACAGTCAGCGCCTGGAAGAAATATTGAATCTATGGTTTTTAAATATTAAACATGTGAATTTTCATAATTCTAAATAATAATAATTAAATAAAAATCATAAAAATCGCCATCAACAAATAAAAGTTTGCTTTTTTTTTAAAAACTAAAAAAGTTGTAAAGAGTTTAAACCACAAAATGATGTTTTATTTATTTTTTTGTCATGTAGAATTTTCGAAAAACTATGTTCCAATTTCTGTGTTTATTGATGAAGATGATGATGATATAGATTTTATAGATAATAATGAATAAAAATGAGGGTTTCCCGTATGTTTTGTTGTATGGAGACAAAAGCGTACACTTTCAGTATGCCACATATTTCGCACCTGTTACTCGCTTATTCCGTACCTTGTGTGAAAATTAAAAAAAGTGCAAATCGTATATAAGAAATACGCATTTATTTTTAGAACGTATCGGTGGTGGGTGGCATGTTGTTTTTTATAGCACACGTCTATAACGTTGAAGAAAATTGTATTTTTGGGTTATTATTATTATAATATAAGTGTATTTCAATGCTTTGAAAAAAGCCTTAAAAAATTTTTAATAAAAGTAAATATAGTAAATACGTATTTTAGTTATCCAGAGGAGGAGGGAGAGAATACCCACCCAATACATAAACCACTACTAATGTAATAATTGCTTTAAATTATTGTTATTTAATTATTATTTATTATTATTATTATCATTATTATAATCAACCGATTAGTTGGTTTGTTTGAATGATTTCTACAATGATACTCTTTTTTTGTCGCGTCATTATTTTTACAATAACACGTCCCATACATACGTCAACGTACCAATCTATCATCGCATATCGCCTTAAAATTTAACTTGTATTTTTTTCTTTTAAAAAAGGCTTAGTACATAAATGATATATATATATACATATATATATATATATATAAAATTAAATAGATTTCCAAAATTCATTGAATGAATTAAAATTCTGATTGACATTATAATAATATCTGATATTGTTTCATTTAAAATAAAGTTATTACTAAATCAAGATTAAGAACAAGATTTTCATAAACATATATGACTAAATATATATTCCACAAGATCCTTACTCAAATTCTGGGCCTTTCTTTTTTGTTTTGATTAAATAAAATTTTTTTGCATTGTTGAAATTTTAATCAATGACTATAATAATAATAAAGTAGCGTTAAATATGAAACCACTTAAAACGCTAAAAGACAAAGAAGAGCTTGACAAAGATTGATTGGATCAAAAGAAATACGGATTTTCCCTTTTTGAAAAAACGAGAAAATAAAAAACTCGAATGACATCAGGTTAATCTCAAATGATGTTGGATAAATTAAGTTAAGTACAATGAAACGAAAACATTTATACAGCATATTAGTATAACATACTCTGCCTTTTTGCTACTAGCATTTTCTCAAAAAAAATTTTCAGGCTTATCAGATTGCCAAATTCCTTTAACAGTTATTATTATTATTAATATAGTTACAATAATTACAATAATATAACAATAATTAAAAAATTACCAAAATTACCAATGATCTGCATAGTTGTAAAAAAAAAACTTTTAAATTAGAGGAAGGGAAGCTGTTCGAGAAATCTGTTCCGGATAATATCCGGTTGTCTTATTATTGTTGTTGTTGTTGTTATTTAGTCAAATGATACCCAACCGGATTTGATTTTATTATTTTTTTCCGGTTTAAATCACACGATTTACAGATCATTGCTTATTGTGATTAATTAAATATTCAAAAAAGTTGTTTAATAGGCGTTGATGGATAATACAAAATCGTGATCCAATTTAACATCTTCGAGGCTTATTATTCATGCAGTTTTCTCACTCGGGGAAGGGTAGAAATAGAAGATACACGATATTTTTGGATCATCGTATAATGCATGGGGGGTCATTTAGCTACGTAGATGACAACCATGACAACTGGTCGATTCATATATATAAGATAGAGCACGATGACTATCCCAATATCAGCATGTATGTGAACACATTTGTGTTTATTTGTATAGGAAGCCAAGGCTAACGGTTGGTGCAACACGGAAACCAATTATGAGTTCAAGAGTTTAAAAACAAATTACACATTGTTTATTTATTTATGATTTTTAGAAAATTAATTATTCTTTTTTTTTTAAAAAAACCCCAACAAATATTTACGCGTTCTTAATTCTTTTATTAATTGGATTTATTTACCTTTTAATATTGTTAGCATTTAAGGTTAATAAGTGATGTTAAAATGGTAAAATGCAAAATAATAAATTAGACACGAAATCTCCCTCATCCTCATCCTTCATCCTCGTCCTCATTATCATTCTCGTCCTCGTCCTCATCCCTAATCACACGCTCTTTCTCCTATTCATCCATTCAAAGGCTATCTGCAAACTCTAAAAAGAGTGTATTAAACCAAAAATCGTAGAACACATATCTGGTGTATATATATGCAGCATGCATTTTTCGATCGTTGAATCATGTGAACTTTAATAAAACTTTAAAACCATTTAGACTTTTAAATGGAAATTTGTGGTACATTATATTTATCCAAATAAATAGTCAATAAAGAGCAAATGTGTGGGTGTGAGTGAGAACGGGTGGGCAAAAGAGGAAAATATTTAATGATAGCATGTAATAAATAATAATAAATGGCAAAAATTTAAGATATGATATAACTACCAATGTTCATCAATTATACACACATGCAAATGTTATAATAATATATTCTCTCTCTCTCTCACTCACACTCCCTCTATAATACACTCCGCATTATCATCATCGTAAATGAAACCTTTTACAATATGGCGCTGTTTTAAAATACGCCCAAAAAAAAAAAAAAATTACATGGATATGAAAAAAATATAAAAAGATTTATCCTCAACTGTAACAAAACAAAATAATATTAACTTTATTTTTTGGTTGTCCGTCTCGCCCATTATTATTTAAACTCTTGACTAATTAACCAAAATCTAAAATCATTAAATAGGCGAAACATTTCTAAAACTAATAAAACTTTAATAATTACTTGGCTTATAATATATACTATAATAACCTGCATGAAAGATTTTTTATTGTATTAATATGGAAAGTTGTTGTGTTTTGTGTTAACGGAATTAACGATTTAAAGTAAAAAATTTCGAAAAAGGATTTTTCTGTTATAAACAAATATAATAATATAAATAAATAATAACAATAACTATTATTGTGCAAACAAAAAATTTTACACAAGAATTTTTTTCTTTGAAATCTTTTTTCCATGATCTTTTTTCCGGACGCTTTTTTTGAAAAAAGAACCTTGTTTGTAAGAAATATTACACACACTCACACTCACACTATATAAAACTCAAATCCCGGAATTTTTTACTTATATACCTAAATCTGGATACAATTCAAACTAAAACCTTTTTGACAAACATAATAATAATAATAATAATAATAATTATAATTATAATTAAAAACGGAGAGCGGAAAGACAAAAAAAGGGAATGCGGGGTTGAAAAGAAAAGGCCGATCATAACGACACAATGAATTTTTTGAATTCAGAAACACATACAATGGATTTTTGAAGAGTGTTCTTGTTTAGTTTAAAAAATGTGTTGATGAATGGACTCTCTCGGTTATTTAATTAATTACTAATTAGTTAATTATTAATAGTAATAATATCATTAATTACTATAATTGCTACTACGATAAGACTTGATAGCATTTAGTGTTAAAAGTGTAAAACAATCTAATTTGATCGTGAAAAAAAAAATTTTTTTGTTTAAAATTAAAAAATTTACATATATTAATAATATTAATAATGGGAATGAATGAATATTAATGGGAATGATGGGAATATTTATTTTTGTTAAAATAAAATGACGATTATTATTTGTTTGTAAAAATTCTCTCGGTTATTGATAATTTGGATATTACCAATCAGTTGTTATGGAGTACGTGTCTCTATCACTCATTCCCACTCACTCTCACACTCCAACCAAACTAGACCAATCCAAACCAATTCAATTCCCAATTCAATTCCCAATTCAATCCAAAAAATGACAACGGCTTTTTCTTTTTTTATTCATCCTAATATGAATTTCTCGCCTATTTCTAAATTTTGCATTCTCCCTATCTATAGGCAATCAATATCCTAAGACTATTAGAAATTGCCATACAAAGCATTTTTCAATTGTTTTTTTTTTTAAATTAATTAATTTACTAATTAATTCCTTCTTCTTCTTCTTTTTGCTTTATTCATTAATTTTTTTTATTTACTATTTCCATATTGCTTTGCTGGTTGTTTATTTTTCCTATCCCATTCATTCGATTGTGTTATTCTCTATTACAATTTCCTCCATTAAGTAAACTCCGTATTGAGCCCATATTATTGCATCACTTCCTAATTTGGTAGATAAAAAATAAAATTTGAAAACGTATTACATATTCCACATACGCACACACACACACACACACACACACACACACACACACACATATTTAATCATCGTAGTAATAAACATCTCCGCAATCATCACAATCAATTCCCTTCGTCTATTTTACATACTTTATATTATTAATTCAGTGTGGTTGTGGTGGTGATGATCATCTTTGCAGTTATTATACTATTATTATTATCACTAATATTACTGAATTGTTATAATTAGTTATTCATTATGAGAAAAAGAACAAATCGATGGAATAAAGAGGCAGGGATGGGGGAAAAAGAAAGAATATTGGTAATGATAATTATGGTTATTTGTGGTATGATTTTAATAGTAATTACGATTATGGTCATCTGTCAATAGTTATTATTAAACATACCAAAATGATCATGCGATTGTAATCATAACTGTTAATTAATTGACTGTCACCTTTTTTTTTTTTTTTTTTTTCTAGTTTTTCCTAAATGGAACAAAATATTAGGCAATCAGTTTTGAAAAAAGTATCCTATTAATTTGTTTGTCATTTACATATATGGTAGATAAATAATTGAAATTTTTTTTAAAGTAATGTTACACTAACACTCAAACACACACACAAAATTTCGAATGTTTCTTGCTTTGAATACAATTTTTTTATGATTTCACATGATTTAATTAAAAATATTAGATATCAATCAACATCAAGTATATTGTTGTTCTCATTTAACCAACAAAATAAATCATCATCCACCACTCACTCACCCTCTCTCTCGCTCGCTCAACTAATCAATCGCTTATTAATTATGAATCATTATTAGAGTGTAAAATTAAACTGTCAAATGTTTAATTAGTGATTAATTAAATTAATTAACCACGAATTAATTAATTAATTAATTAACGAACACACCACTAATTAATTAAAATACATAGCCTAATTAATCAATAATAGTAATTAGCATTAATATAATAATTTTGTTTTTGTAACAAATACACTACTATTAATAATTTTTGTGAATTAAGTAAAAATATAAAGGTTTTAATTAATTAATTTAATTTCTAATCAAATCACCTTGCTATTTAATAACGGCGGTAACAAGCAGCGTCATGATCCGAGCATTAACGCTGTGTTTTTGTTTTTATTTTACCAAGATGATAAAAATGGTAATTTTTTATTATTTTTTTTTTTTTTTTGAATTAATAAAATTAATAAAATTAATAATAAGTTGGTGTAACATTGCTTAATATATTTATTTATTGTACTATTTTATTATGACATTTTAGCATAAAATTGAAATTGATTGTTATAGATTCTAATACAGTATAGCGGTTTAAAGCTCTTTGTTTCTTCTTCTTTATTCTCCCAACACAATCTAAAGAATGAATGGTGGGTGGATCAATTGGTTTTTTATTCTATTATTCTATCTATACATATCATATCGAATCATTCGTACATATATATATACTCCGTATACATAAATGTCAATCAAAGAGCAAAAGAAAAGGCACACTCACTCTCTCGGAAGTTTGGCACATTCATGCGGACAATCTTTTTTTATAAAAAATCTTATTAAACCAATAAATTTCCTGTTAAATTATAGAAATTTTAGAATTCCTGAATAACATGACCAAATAATAAAGTATCATGACAACAATAATAATAATCGAAATTTGATTGATTTATTGATTGATTGATTGATTCCGAATGTTTTGTTTGTTTTCGTTGATGGTCGGTTGATTGATTGATTGGTTTAAGAAATTTATTAATTTTAATTAAATCATTAATTATCGCAAAGAAATTATTTAATTGCTATTTAATTAATTGATTAATTGGGCGCGGCGGCGATGTTGGTGTTGTTGGTGTTTGTGGAGAGGAGAAAGAAGCATGCAAATTCTGGCAAATTTAATAAAAATGGTTTAAGAGAAAAATTATAAATTATAAAATGTATGATTAAATCATTTTTACATTCACTTAAGTTGTTTTGTTATTCTATTATTTTGATTATTTTATTTTAAACTTGTGAAAAAACACGTGGAAATTTTACTATTTTTCTTCTTGTAATAATAATATTAAATTATTTCTAAATATACAAATTGATTTCCTAAATAAAGTTAACAATTAATATTCTCTCAAAATAACAAAGTTCCCTCGATAATAAATCGGTATTTACCTTTGCACTAAAAAATAAATGTCATGGATCATATTACTAAGCATTATTTCCTTTTGACCTTTGCAAGTAACTAACAAGTTTCTAATAATTCCTAATTATTATTGTGATTTACAAAATTAGGAATTGAATAGTTTTTTTTTTTTTTTTTTTGTGTTTAAAACGGAATTATAACACAACGAAATATCATTGGAATGACAACGAAAAATCTAAAACTAAAGGAAAATTTTCTGTCCCAAACCAAATAAAACATTATTATTTATTACTAAATATATAAAATAATTTTAATATTATTATTATTATGGTTTTCTATTTAATTAGTAATTGGGTAACAATGTTTTTTCTTCAAATAATAAATTTTTTAAAGAATCAATTAATTTGTAAATTATTATTATTTATTATTAGTATTATTTATTTTATTATCATTATAATTTATCATATTATAAACATTCATACAATAAATTATATTTCCCAATAAAATTGTTACCTCCTGATATTATTTTTTTATTATAAAATTTGACTGTTACACAAGCAAGCCAATAAATTAATTTCACTATTCTATAGTATAAGCTGCTTGCTGTCTTTTTTATATTACTATTGTAAATAAAAAAGTTTATTTTAAAACTATTTTAATTTATACACGAGTAAATTAAAAAAAAATAATATAAAGGGAACAAATATTTTAACTTTCAGTTTTTTTCTTTCAATTTTTTTTTTAAAAATTTAGTCTAAAAAAACTATTATAATAACAATATAAATAACTAACATAACACACATATATAAATAAATCTATAAGAACTATTATAAAACATATATATAAAAAAATAATCTATAAGAATTATTTTTATCATTTATATATATATATATATATATATATACGAAAAAAATCAAAAAAAAACTCTCGAAATAAAAAGCATCATTTTTTGATCCAAAAAAAAAAAAAAAAAGAAAATGTCAAATATTTTGCTTAAAAATTTGGTTGACGGTCCCATTACACCTCAGATGATTGGTAAATATTTCTTTTTCCTTTTTGCTATTTGATCTTCAATTCAAAATCCAAATCAAATCATAAATTAATAATTATCTTTTAAAAATATATTTTATAGTGTATGTAACTCAAAAAGCAACTTCGGTTATTCCTTGCGATTCAATGCTTTCTTTATCGTCGTCGTCGTCATCGTCAACACTTTCAAATTCAAATTCTAATCATAAATCTAACAATAAGAATAATAATAACAATAAGAAGAACAACAACAATAAGAAGAACAACAACAATAAGAATTTAAATCAATCATCTTCAGCTTCATCTTTATCAATAAACACCGATAACAATCATGTTCATCATATTCATCATGATGAAGACCTTCAACTTTTACCACCCTTACAAAATTTCATACAACGTCTAGTAACAAGATCAAGCGTTTCAACTGCTACCTTTTTAACCACTATAATTTATCTGGATCGTTTAAAAAAGAAATTGCCTAAACTCGCTAGAGGTAAAATTTCTTATCCCTCGCTATTTTTGTGATTGTTCACGTGATTTAGTTAAAAGTTATCTGCATCACGTGTTATTTATGTGGCTGTGCTAATCTATTTATTTTTATTTTTTTATAGGCATGCATTGCACTCGTCATCGAGTATTTTTAGCTATTTTAATAGTTGCATCGTATGTTTCTATTTTTATTTTCATTTATCTTTTAGAAAAAAAAAAAAAAAAAAAAAGGTTATTTACTAATTAAATTTTCTCTTCTTTTTTAAATATAGAAAATATTTAAATGATTCATCTCCAAGAAATAAATATTGGGCAAGGTTCTCAAGTGTCTATTCCGTCAATAAAGTTAATTTAATGGAGAGACAATTGCTTACTTTGTTAGACTATGATCTTAGAGTAACAGAGGCTGAGTTATTATTACACTTGAGTCCATTCTTGAAATCGCCTTCTCTCTCAACATCATATAATAATAACAGTACCGGTAATACGCTGATAAATACACTAAAATTACCTTATCCAATTAATGGTAATCTTAACAATAACAATAATTTGGATAATCTTGATAATCATACTATTAATAACAGTAATGAATACATTCAAAGAGCTCGCTCCTATCCTCAAATATCTATACCAAAATCTTTGCCACTTTCCATGTATGATAATGACAATAATATGAACACAATTAATAATAATAATAATAATAATAATAATAATAACAACAATGTATTTTCATCTCCATCATCGTATCAACCTTTAATTATTGATAATAACAACAATTATAATTATAATGATGACAATGATGATGCAATGAACACTGATGAAGATGATGAATTTTTACCAAACACCAACAATGTCAACACCGTTATTAACGATAATTCATTTTCAAATTTCTCTCAAAATATTGATCAACATCAAACAAAAGATCAATTTGGCAGAAGACTTTCCTCAACTTCTACATGTTCATCATCCTCCACCTCTTCCATAACAACTCCTACATCTGTTCCAACAGCGTTTCAAAATAATAGTAATAATTTACTTTTACAACAACAATTAAATAATTTACAATTATTACAATTACAATTAAATTTGTTTAATAAACAACCTGACATTCCTTCAATTCCTTCAATAATCACACCAACTTCAACTAGTTATCTCCAATCCCAACATCAATTAAATCAAAATTCACATAGCCATCATCATCATCATTATCAACAACAATCTTCGTTCCAACCACCACCATTAAAATCTCTTTTATCTGACGCTGGCGCGGATAATTATTTTGGTTCCTCTGATTTTAATAATAATAATCACAACCAAATTCATCACGGTCATTACAATTACAACCTTCCCATTTTAAATGTTAATAATCACAATAACAATAATAATTTTCATCAACATTACAATCATATAATTTTACCAAATCCTGTTAACACCACCACCACTACAAATGTCTCTTACATGGAATAACACTCTCATATCAATAATAATTAATTTCTCTAAAAAAAAAAAAAAAAAAAAAAAAGGACAATTTTTAAAACCAAAAAAAAAAGCACTTTTTTTTCTTTTGTACATTACTTCTTTTTTTCTTTAGAATTTTATTTAATTTTTTATTTAGATTTTGCTTTTTAGTTTAAAAATTATATATAATAATATATATAATATAAAATCATTTATTATTATTATCATCATTATTATTATATATTAATATGTAAATAATAATTATTTTTTTCTTATACATATATATTTTTTCTTCTTTTTAGCATCAAAGATTTATAAAAAAAAACATTCATTAATTAAAAACAATCCATTTTGAAATCATTAAAATAAAAAATATCAATAAATTAAAAAAAAAAAAGAGTTTGGTTTAAATTAAATTTCTCGGTGAAAAAAATCGGTTATGTAAATCCTGTCACGTGAAGATAATAATATTACTATATTAATATACAATTCATTCTGCAACGAATGGCGGATCTTCTTCAATAACGGACCTTGCGAATTTAGGCCCCAATTTTATCAATATTTATTATGTACTATTTATTCAGTTACGGATTCTCTCTGTAACGGGCATTGCGAACTGTATATATACAAATTTGTTAATAATCTACATATAATTCCCAGGTTTAGTTAGCACACACCCGTTGTACCCACCACGGGCATGAAGTCATGTAAATCTTTCTAAAAATGTTAAAAATTCGTATATACCAATTGGGCTTTTCTATAATTAATATTAACATAAATCTTAAATTTTAACCCATTTTGGAAATCGCTAAATATTCTTGTATTTGTGAAGGCATCGACTCGGCTTGCCGAAAGTAACCTATTTATCATTTTATAATGGTACTTACTGTAATAGAAGACTCTCCCAAAAGAAAAAAAAACCTGGGACCTAGAAAGCTTCGTGTCCTGAATGTTGTACATGAACAAATTAAGCTTGATCAATTATTTAAGAGTACAAATACGATCGATTTATTGGCTTTACTAATAATAATAATTGTAATTAATTAAATTTTAAGCATGTAATTTATATGGTGTACAACGTATATAAATTAGTTATTAAGTCTCCTGATTCATGGTAACATTTTGTTGTCTTCTAACTCTCTCTTACTCTCTCTCTCTCTCTAAGTTCACTTTATTGTTTAATAAAGAATATTATTTCTTTTTTTTGTTAAACTGTAAACATTTATTATTAGTATAATGTTATTATATATTATATATTGGTAAGAAAATTTTTATGCATCTATTGGGTCAATTGTTCCTACAATTAAGCTAATAAACAAATTTATTTTTAAAAATTAGTGTAACATTAAATTTGTCTGGGCGGCTTCATTTAGAAATAGATGCGAGTTTTTTGTTAATTTGGAATATGTGTGTAACATTGTGCATAGTTTTTATACATCAGAAAAAAAAATCGGATTTTTTAATTTTTTCAAATTTCTCTTTTTTCGATTCTATTTTTTCAGGCAAGGCAGACGTAATAAAGGTTCGTTTGTATTGATTAACTATTCTTTTTTTTTTCAATTTAATAATATAACATGAAAATTTAATTAATTAATGTATTAATTTATTATTTCTGGTTTTTTTTTTTTTTTTTAGTCACATTCCTTCCTCTCCTAATCCCTTTCCTCTTCTACTTTTTTAAATAAAAAGTAGAATAAACCATTTTATTTATAAAATCATTAATTATTTTCCTGGTGAAAAACACTCAATTCATTTAACCATACATTACATACAAAAAAAAAATGTCTTATCCGACGCCACCTTACCAAAAAAATTATCCAACGGATATTAATAATAATAACATTCCTAATAATAATAATAACTTTCCCAATAACGTTCCTCCTCATCATGGAATATTAAGGAGAGAACATATAGAATATGATGATCGCAATAATCATCATAACAACAACAACAATAATAATTATAGTGATGATTATAATAATCACAACCATCCTTCAATAAATCACCAGTTGCAAACTAATCATATCAATGAAAAAAACGATCATTCCAATATTGGCCATGATCCAGAGGACGCTTCACGGGATATTCATATTCATACACCAAATATACTAAAAAAACCAAAGATTGTATCAAAAGACCCTGTGAAATGGTACAGGAACACACGAGAAATCTTACTTGCTGTTAAATCCAATTTTCTTTTAATATTCTTACCTCCTGCTATCATAATGAAAAGATTTGATGTAAATGACAATATATTGCTTTTCTTTAATTTCTTGGCTATCATTCCATTATCAAAAATTATGACAACCGGCATTGATGATCTTTCAGCCAGATTTCATCCTGTAAGTAATCAATCCTGATCTATTTGTTTCAGTATTTCTTTGTCTATTCTCTGATTGATTTGATTGATTTGATTGATTCCTTTTTTTTTTTTTTTTTAAAGTCATATGGTGCAATTCTTCATGCGTTTGCCGGAAATTTTGTCGAATTGGTGATTTCATGCTATGCATTATTGGATAAACAATATTCAATTGTTCGTTCTTCTGTACTTGGTGCAATTTTATGTAACATATTATTGGTAAGTGGATTTAATATACACACATTAAACCTATTCATATACGCACATTCATTCATTCATTATACACACATTCATTCATTCATTCATTATTCATTCATTATTCATTCATTCATTCATTCATTCATTCATTCATTCATTCATTCATTCATTCGTTCGTTCATTCGTTCATTCATTGTAATACTAATTATTTACAAATTTGCTGCTTCAATAAAACAAAAGGTTCTTGGTGTTGTATTTTTGGCAGGATCTTGGCCAAGAAAAAAGTCCAAGAGAGAGTCTATGAATGCTCATTTAAGCACACAACTTTTTGTATCCACTAGTGCATCTACCTTGGCTCTTGCTGTTCTTGCACTTGTCACTCCTGCCGCATTCAAAATTGCTGCTCCTGTGGGCACGGGCATTGAATGTGATTTACAGAATATTAGTCATGCTATTGCTATCATTTTATTATTTGTCTATGCTGCTCTTTTAATATTTCAATTGAAAACTCATGTTACGTCTGTAAGTATATATATATTTATATGCGTGTGTTTGTATTTGTTTATTTCAGTTATTAATTTTATTAATTTTGGGGGATTTTTTGAAAATATACTAGACCATTTCTATGGATGAAGTTCACTACAGAGAAGCAAAATATTTCCTTCTCTTTGACGTTTTCTTGTAAATACGATTTTTTTTAAATTATGTAAAATTACATAGATATGTTTGTATTTATATTTATATATTTTATATATTTATTATTTCCAGAATTGTCAGCTCTATAACTGGTATTGTTGTATGTGCAAGATACCTAGTGACAAGTATTGAACACATGGCTCATAGTTTTCGACTTGGAAATGGATTTATCGGAATGGTTCTTTTACCTTTGTGTGGTATTTATCATTCTTTCACACACATATATTCTCCCTTCAACTAATAATGATTATGATGATAATTTATTAACTTATTTAATAATTATAATAGTTGTTTCTAATTTCATGGAACATTATGATGCTATTAAAGAAGCTTCTGAAGATAAAATTGATACTGCCGTCGGTTTAATTCTTAATACATCTGTGGTAATTATTCATCATAATATTAGTCATTATCATTATTATGATTGTCTTAAAATATAACAATAACGTTATTATTATTATTATTATTATTATTATTACCAATAATATTATAGCAAATCGCTCTTTTGGTTGCTCCTGTTCTTGTGCTTTTTGGTTGGATTACATCAAGACCTTTGACATTGGATTTTAATACTCTTGAAATTTGTGTACTTGCGTGCGCTGTTCTAATTGTCAATTATTTAGTAGCTGTATGTAAAACAATCACTAATATCCATATTTGATTTACTTGTAAGTTTATCATTATTTAATTAATGATTTTTTTTTTTCCTTTTAAAAATTATCTAGGATGGTAAAGCAAATTGGTTAGAAGGATACATGTTGATTGTAAGTAAAACACAAAAAATTAAATATAAAATTTCAAGAAAAAGAAAATTTTCAACAAATCTGATTATTGATTAATTGTTCTTCCATTTTTTAGGTTTCTTATGTTATCATTGCTGTTGCTTTCTTTTATTTCCCAAATATACCAGAACTCAAAGAAGCTGATATATTGAAATGTAATCCATTCAGCAGAAATTTACCTCCAGATGATTTTGGTTTAAGTACAGGTAGTGGTGGTGGTGGTGATGGTCATTAAAATTTTAAATCGTAATCATAATTCCTCCTCATTCCTCATCTCGCGTCTTGCCTTTTTTATTTTTCCTCTTTTCCCATTTATTCTTTCCCGTTTAATTTTTTGGGCACGATAAATTTAGCTGATGGAAATAAAACAAATAGATAAACACATTATAGATGCCTTCTTTTTTTTTTGTCAAAAAATAAAAAAGCTAAACCTATAAAGTTTATAATAATATATAGTTCAAAGTTTATAAATAAAAATGTATAAAAGTTAAAACTCAAAAGTTTATCCAAAAACTATGATAAAAATAAATCTTGTTTCGAGAATAAATAATTCTTTTTTTTTCTGTAAAAACAATAATCATGGAAAATAACGCTAGCTCTAATAATATTAACGCCAATACTAATAATAAAAACATCAAAGGATCAAAAACGCAACAATCACAAAAGGCTGGTTGTAAGAATAATCGGAAAAAAGTTTTAAATAATGAAAAAACTCCAAAGAGACCTCTCAACGCATTTTTTATATTTGTTAGTGAGAAAAGGTACATGTAAAAAAATCTTTGTTTACATTATATTTATATTTATGACTTTGGCTCTATTTATTTATGTTGCTATATAATTTTAGACCCGAATATATAGAAAAATATCCTAATTATACTGCAATCAAACGTGCTTCTATTATTAGAAAATTGTGGAGTTCCATGTCCAAAAAAGAAAAAGAGGTTTATATGATATATATATATAGATCCTTCGATATAATAATTAGACGCGTTGTATTTTCGATTTTTTTTTTTTTACATTAATACATTAACGTTTACGCTATTGTTATATATAGCCTTATTTTAATATTTCAAAGAAAAAAATGGAAGAATGGAAAAAAACCATGCAGGAATATAATAATAATAATAAATCAGTAAAGTATTAAATAAAATATATTTATATATATTAATTATATTTGAAATAAATTTTTATACAATATCTTTCATTATAGAATCATGATAATGTTAAAAATCAAACGAGTAACGTTGGTGGTGTAGAAGATGACGGTGACGAAAACGACGACGACGACGACGACGACGACGACGACGATAAAAAAGATTCAGAACCTCCTAACTTTATAACCAATACAGTTTCGAATATAGAGACAATAAGTTTTCAATCTTTGCTTGATTCATTGAACGCTGTTAATACGATTAGCGCAAACGAAATTCAACCATCACCATCACCACCATTATTATTATCATCGTCGTCGTCATCTTCAAATACCAATGATACAAATAATGATAATAGCGTTTTGAGTTGTCGATTTTCAAACAATGACAACAACAGATCTATAACAAATAATTGCTGTTGTTGTAGCATCATGAATTCGTCCATAAACACTCAAAATTATGACAACGTAAATTCAAAACAGGAATATGTTAATTCAAATACATATAACATCAATCAAAATTCTACTACTACTTCTTCTTCTTCAATTGCTTTTCAACAACCACAAGAAAGGGTACCGAGAATTCATAATAATATACAAGATTTTAATATCTCAATGCCTAATAATAATAACGACAACAATAGCAACAATTGTAATGCTTGTGGTAATATACTAACTCAAAATATGCTAAACTTTCAGTCTTACCAGTCGCAACAGTCATCATTACTAATACCTCAACAAAATGACTTTAGTAGCAAAAGCAACAATAACATACAACAATTTCAAAATCAACAACAACAACAACAACAACAACAACAACAACAGGCTCTTCAAAATAATCAACGAGAAACTTATTGTTTCCAACAAATGTCATTTCCACAACAACAACGTCACGATAATCAATTTTATTCTCATGATAATAATAACGTAACTGTAAAAATGGAATCAGTAGATAATTTTGAACCAATTGCGTTTTTTGAATCAGAGCCGAGAATTTTACAAATGCCACAGACTTCCATTCCTATTACTACAATAGGAACATTTTACCCCCCACAGATTAACTCTTTCCCACAACAACAACAACAACAAACATGGAAATCCATCCCAACATCATCACCGTTATCATTACAATACCAACTACAATTAGAACATATGATATTACAAACAATGAATTATCCACAAAAACCACAAAAATGGCAAAATATCCCACAAAGAAATCTTTTTCTTCCTAAACAACAATGGAGCCAACAACAACAATCAACACCTAATATTCTCACGAATTCACATTTGCATAATTCTCTTCTAAATAATAATAACAATGATAATAATATCTATAAATTACCTTCAAACATATTTTCACAACAGCCAATTTACCTTCACCAGAATCCCTGGAATCTTGAACAACAAATTAATCCACAATAAAACGGTTACAATACAATTCATAATCAACCTTATAATTAATTATTAATAGATTTGATTATTTGATTATTTATTTTTAATTAAAAATAAAATAAAATGTACTTTTTATTTCTCTATATAAAAGCTTAATTTATTGCAATAATAATTATAATATTACACACACTAATTAATAAAAAAATTTAATTATTTAAATTTTAATTATCGTCAATATTGGTTATTACTATTTTCATTGTGTTTACTATTATTGCTGCTGCTGCTGCTACTGCTACTACTATTATTATTATCGTCGTCGATGCTATTATTATAAATATCATGATTAACGTCAATATTTTCGCTATTATCGTTAGGTTTGTTTGGTGAAATTCGTTGTGGGGCACCTGGTCGTTGATACCCATGTTGTTTAAGGAATAAACCACATCGATTGCCTATATATAAATATATATATAAAAGTAATTAATAATTAACATAAGAATATGATATAGAATAAACACAAACAATAATCTAATGATGATAACCTACAAAGTTTACTGCCTTCTGACCCTCTCCAACAAGGAGTTTCTTGCGTGCCACAATTTTGACAACTTGGTGGTCCTGTCCCTGCCTTTTCCGGTTTAATTAAACGAATTTCTCCATCAGTATCAACTTCTGTAGGACGCTGTCTCCCCTTAACTTTAAGACTAGCAAAATACAAACATAAATATATTTATATTCACCTATACATGTGTGTATATAAATAAAAATAAAAATAACATATATATTTAAATATACTAACTATAAGCCACATGCATTACAAAGTAAAGCTTCTCCTTGTAAATCTCGTCTCCAAGCTGGTGTTTCCCTTGCACCGCAATTTGAACATCGATAAATCTCGCCAGCTTTGATGATTTTGCCAGAATTAGTTCGAGGAGATGCTATGGTTGCTCTTGATCTTCTTCTTCGTCGTCTTCTTGACTGAAAAGAATGAGTGTTTATTGAATTGGTATCAGATGAAATTGAACGTCTTGTTGTCGATGCATTATGATTGTTGTTGTTGACGTTAGCATTGCTATTACCATTGCCATTACCACTGCTATTGATAATGTTATTACAATGACTACATCCAATATTTGAGGTAATCTGTTCTTCATGATGTTGATTTAAAATTATCAAATTTCCTCCATTCATAATTTTGTGATTTTCCGCTGAAAAGGTTTTTGTATTTTTGTTATTACTATTATTATTGCTACTACTGCTAATAATATTATTACCGCTATTATCACTTGTAGTATTGTTATCATTATTACTATCATCATCATTATTAGAATTATTGTTACTACAGGTAATAATATTTTCATTACTTGATAATGGATTTGATTTATTTGAATATAATACAGATGTTGGACTGTGGTTTACTCGATGAGGTGATGATGACGACGATGATAATGACGACGGTTGTGAATAGAAACAACTATTGGGTAAAGCAAAATAATATTGAAGAGGAAAAGATAATCCATTATTGAATGAAGAGGGTCCTGTCGGTAAATTAGGAGAGGTTGGTTGACTATGGCCATGTTGGTGATTGCGATGAGGGAATTGATGATAATGGTGGTGATAGTGTTGTTGAGAAATGTAAAGACATTGTAGGCATAACGATGATTCAAATTCCAATTTTGATTGATTGAGACCTGATAACGTGGTATTATTATTATTATTATTATTATTATTATTGGTTTCTTGTGATGTTATAGTATGATTAATGTGCGAAGAATTTGAATTGGTGTCCAAAATATTTGTAAGATTACATTTAATGCTGCTGCTATTACTGCTATTATTAGAAAAAGGAGAAGAATTGATCATAATTTCGTCGGTAGGCTTATTTTGTGTATTATCGTCAGATTTCGTTGGTGATTTATCTGATGCATGATCGGTTATTTTGGTGAAATTTTTCTCTTTTGGCTTTAATAAACCATTATTATTAAGTTTGATGAATTCTTCGTCAAGTTGATTTTGTTGTTGCAAAGGTGATAAAGTATTGATTGGTGATTGTGTGCAAGTAGTGGTGGTGGTAGGATATGAACTTTGTATAATATTACAAATATTGAGAAGGGATAATGAATTATCAGATTTATTTTTTGATGATGTCGACGGTGACGGTGACGATGTCAATAGTGATAAAACTTTTCCGCTCTTTTTAATAGAGTCTGGAATTTCTTTTGTTTCGTCCTTGTCGATTTGTCTCTCCTCGCAACTTTCAATTATTGGATTTTTCTCTTGCGCTGTTTGTTCAATATTTTCAGACATTATTAATAATAAACGTGTATTTGTAAAAAAATAGACTCTTTGAGCATATTAATTTAAGAGACGCGTAAATTTGTGTTGATTTTTTAAAAAAAAGGAAATAAGAAAAAAACAAGTTATATATAAACAATTTACTATTATAATGAATATTATTTAATTAAAAAAGGAAAACTTTATTTAGTTATTTAGAGAATGAAAAAAAATTTTTTTTTTTGATAAATAGAACAACTTAGTTCATATATATTTTCAAATATTAATGTATAATAAATAAACGATCATTGGGGGAAAAAAACCTTATTTTATCACTCTAAAAATTGATTTTGTCGTTTTTTTTTTACTGATTTTGATGCTTTAGGTGATCAAAAGAAATCAATATTTTTTTACTTTAATAATTTAGTTCTTTGAAAATTTTCGTGAGAGGAAAATAATATGTAAACTAATAAATATATATACGTAAAATATAAATAAAAAAAAAATGTAATGATTAATACTTAATTTATAAAAACTACTATATTTATATTGAAAAAAATAAGAGTCAAATATAAAACCTTTTAGTAATCACATATTAAAAGAATAATGATGCTCCCTCCTGATTTATAATCTCATCAACCATCACACACATCGTAACATATAATAAACTGTCCAATAAATATTTTCATTAGATATTATTTTAAGGTCGGAGAAAGGGGGTTGGTTATAAGTGATTGATTACAGGTCTCACTCATTAGATGACACGAAATTTAAATCAAATCAATTGATTAAAAAAAAGGTACCAAAGGATGCAAGTTACGATTGAAAAATTGAATACTGATTTAATTTTTAATTAAATACTATTTAATACCGAATTTTACTGACAAATATAAAAATCACCTCTCTTAAAAATTATTTTGTAATTGCTCAGGTCCATTATATTATAAACGTGACCAATCATAAGACTTCATCAATCAATCAATTAATGAATTTTTTAATCAAGAAAGATGGTGCATTTTCTACGTTGACTGGTAAATGATTGGTCAAATTACAGAATGGGTAGTAGTAGGTTACATGTTCAAGCAGGGATTCTGGTAAATCTTTGCGACATGTCTTATATGGGGCATGCTGCAACAAAACCAGACAAAGTGAACATTGGTATTACCAAGGATTTCAGGGATCAAAATTTATCATTTGTAATGTGATAATAATTAACAGTTTTATAATATCCCATTTGTTATCTTAAGTGATATATAAAACTATCCCTATACAAAAATAGTTAATATGAACTCATTACATCAGGTCTATTATGGAACCCAAGAATTATAGTACTATCAGAAGTATTTTAAAAAAGGAACAAGGCGAAAAAATTGCACCTTACGTTTTCAAAATAAATAATACTCAGACACTGAAACTTATCTAAGAAAAGAAAAAATTACCTATGAGATTTACCAAGAAGAAAGGAAAATAATAAATGTTAGAAAAAGAAAGCAGAATAAAGGTGTGCTATTACTTAACAAAAAGCAGAAACTTTTGGAAGAAAAATAATCTTATTATTACATATTGATCTATTTTTTCTTTTTAGTCCTTTTAAAAACATAAATCATAACAATTATAAAACCCAAAATGGTATTCATCATCAAATAGATTTATCATCATAATTTTCTTTATTCCTTGAAATATTGTTTTTACATTCATCAGCAGCTTTGGCAAAATCTTCATCTTTTAAGTCAGAGGCAGTAGTTTTAACATGATAGATGTTAGATTTAGTAGTGCCTCTTTTGGATAAAAATCTTAAAATAAGTGCGTAAAAAGGAAGCATTTTCAGCCTATTATAGAACTACTAATACTTAAGCTAGTCTCTTCTTTTAATTGTCATTGGGAAGTTCTAGCCTGGTTCTAAAACTTTTATTACGGTTAAAAATTGCTTGAGAAATGGGAAATTTTTTTTTGAAGTGTTCGCGATATTAAAATTTTTAGTGTACCGTTACACGATCTGCATTATTATTATTATGTTACGCGGGTCAATAACGGCTTTTTCATAATAATCATTTTATACATATATACCAATACAATGCTAATTTCTAACGAATGCTTTAAAGAAAATGAAAGTTGGACCTTGATTGGTTACTTGAGATATATAGTGAATTGTGAAGACTTCTTAGCTAACAGAAATAATGAACATTTATCCTATCGTAAGAACCTTGATTAGATCGTTAATTACTACAATACAAAACAACGAGCCAAAGCTAAAAAGTGTATTGATAATCTCAAGGTAAGATTCCTGATGTGTATGGGTCCAAGGAATATAACACATGCACATGATATGTTCTGTCGGTGTTGAAGAAACTTGAATAGCCAACTGATTACGCATTAGGATGGTGACTGTGGGGTACGTCCTCCTTTGAGTGTCCTTGGATAGGCTACGTGCTATTGCCATGACACAACCGATGGTTACGTACTATTAGAGTTGCGGGCTACGTGCCTTGTCATAGTCCATCCACATCAGATATTTTATGTATTTTATACAAATTTGTTAGATTGACTTTATGTGATGTATGTAACGATTTTATATCATTATTAGGCTGAAAAAAATTCACCAGCTGTTAATTCTTTCCGAGCATCAGTTGTGAGAAAAAAGTATGAACGCAAAATTGAAATCTCTAAGGTTGGTAAGATGATATATATATGTTATATGCTAAAATTGCAATTTTAATACCACATAACTATGACATGCTTTTTTCCTTCGAAATTTTGTAAATAAAGTATTCTTACTATTTGTTAGTTGAAATGTTAAATGATTGTAGGGTGTAAGGATATACACATTAATATTAATATTAATATTATTACCAATTACTCTAAATTTTGATCCCTGAAATTCTTAGTAATACAAATGTTCACTTTGTCTGGTTTTGTTACAGCATGCCCATATAATAATAATAATAATAATAATAACACACAATGATTAATATATCTATTTGTTAAAAAAAGTCTTTTTAATACAACAAACGGCAAATAAGTCTATTATTAAAAATACAATTAGCTTTAATTTACAATTTTTTTATGATTTTATAAATTTTAGTTTCTATATATAAAAATAAATAAATAAATAAATATAATTATCCAAATTCTATCTATACAAAGAGCATCCATGGGATGTTGTTGGCTGGTTGGTTGGTTGGCTGGTTTCTTTTAAATGATGTATATATTTATAAAATATATAAATAATTATACAGATATATAACATGTATATAATACAATATGTTGTCCCAAAAGCAATCCAGAGGTATTTATAACACATGATCTTCCTCCTCGGTAATGGCGCTTGTGGTGACCTCAGTCCTGACAGAGTGTTTGTTCCGATTGATGAATGGTTTTATAAGTGGGCGAAGAAAAGATTCTATTTAAAAATTTTTTTTTAAAAAAAATTACAAATAAGTATACATACATGTATAAAACTATATATAATAAATTACAAATCAGTCAACTCTCCGTATAACGAATTTAGAAGGTTGATAAAAAAGAAAAATGCGAATGATTTAAAAAGAGTTTTGGAATTTTGAAAATAATTATAATAATATATATATATACATGTTTTTTTTTTTTAATATTTAAAAATTTTAGGTAATGAATTTTAAGGACGAAATGAAAAGAAAATTTTTGTTTTGGTCATGAATTAATCTCGAATACCCACACACGGATTCACATAAAGAACAAATGGTGATTGTGAGGTGTTGAAAGGGGAATTTCGTTATAATGAGAGTTGACATTCAACACAACAGTCTTAAAAGCACATGAACTTGCTTTTCTTGGCCATGAGTTCTTCCATCCGACTTTCAAGTTGCCTTCTCGCTTTCTCGGCATTTTCTTTGGCTTTTCGCTCTACTTCCAACACCTTTTCGATATCCTTCTTTTCTTCGTACACCGATGATTTGGCGTGTTCAAATTGGGCCGTTGTTTCATCCAACTGTGATCTCAATGCTTTAATTTGATCTAAAAGTTCTGTCTTTTCTTTTTGTAAAAATTGTAATTGTTGCTTAGCAACACGTAACTCGTCTTCGTTTTCTGTTAGTGAATTTTCTAGAGTTGCAACCAAATGACGACTTTGAAGATTATCCCCCTCTAATCTGGCTAATTTCTTTTGTAATTTTTGAATTTCTACTGTAACCTCTGTATTAGAATCAGGTCGCGATGAATGTGGTGGCTTTACATTAAATACTGGAGTCGTAGGGGTGGATGGCGAGCCTGGAACAGGAGGAAGTGCCATAGGTGGTGGAGGTAAAGGTTGACTAGGTGGTGGTGTAGGTGGAGGTGATTTAACTGTCGCCATCATGCCAGGTCGTACTTTCTTTAGTGCGTCTGAAGAAGAATTATTAGATACTGTGGACATGGTGGATAATCTTGAATTATCAACATCTGATACAGAGATTCCACTGGCATTTGAAGGTCTTCTACGACGAGAAGTTTCCTCTACTAATCTACGTTCAAGTTCCATAACTTTATCTTGAAGAACTTTAATAATATTGCTTTGTTGTATGATCTTATTTTCTTGTCGATTAAGTTTGGTTTTAGCTGTGCTATCTAAATTATTGGCTCGGGATGCACCAGGTGAATGTGGTACAACATCAAATGATGTCACGCTGCTTCTTGACTTGATCGATACATTATCTGGGGTTAGTATGTTTGAATTTATTTTACTTAATTCTTTTTCAAGTTGTTGATTTACATCAATTAATCTTGTAATCTCTGACTCCATCTCTTGAATATCAGTTATAGACTTTTGTTTATAATTATTATATTCTTGGTCAATTTCTGTCAGCCTAGCATGTAATTCTGATAATTGTGCTGCTCCTTTATTACCTTCACGCCCTGCTGTTTGTAACTGTTTCAATAATGAATCTAATTTTTGATCGAGCTTCTTACGCTCTTCACAGAATGCTTTATTAGCTTCCTCCAATCCTTCTTTTTCAGCTTCAAGCTCACTTATTTTACTTTTTAATTCATCAACGCTTACAGCAGTAAAACCTTTAGATCCAACAGATTTTAATCGTTCAACTTCACTTTCTAGTATTTTAACGTTTTCTGTTAGTAATACTACTCTCTCTTCTGAAACCTTTATTGTTTCACCAAGTTCGTTATTCTTTTGTTTTAAATCCTCATTTGCTATAGATAACTGTGCAAGCGCAGGATTTGTTGTTATTGGACTGCGCGACTTGTCATTTGAATTGCTATTTGTAGAAGTTTCTATGATTTGATTTGTAGTTTGTTCAAGTGAAATTTCTAATTCGGTTATACGATCTTTTTGTTTTTGTGAAAGCGTCTTAATGCTTTCATTTTCTGTTGTGGATTCGGTGAGTTCTTCTGCCATACGTTCAAGTTCTTTTTGAAGGTTCTTAATTTGGTGTGTAAGATCTACATTTACGTCAATCTGATTATTTTTATCGGCCTCAACTTGTTTAGAAATATTTTCTAATTCTTTTAGATGGTCTTGATATTCTTTAATTTCATCATGTGCTTTTTTAAGTTGATTTGTAAGATCTTCAACCACAGCATTATCATCAACAGTTTCATCATTATCTTTTTGGAAAACACAAAGTTGATTTTCTAATGTTTTACACTGCCTCTTAAGATCCTCTATTTCATCTTTAGCATCTTTCAATTTCAAAGTTTCCGTACTGTAATTATTTTCAGCTTCTTTTAACTTCATTTCCAAAGTGTTTATAAATTCAGATTTATTATTTTCAGACGTTCTAACACTTTCAAGTTCTCCATTAATTTGTTGTACTGTTTCTTCTAATTTACTCAAAGAATCTTGTTTTTCTTCCAGTTCAGTTTTCAAGTCTTTAATTAAAGCTTCTTGAGTAACTTCTAAACGCTTGATTTCTTCTAATTCTGCGCTCGTCAAAGTTACCGAGTCAATACCTGTTTTCACAGTTGTAGGCAATTCTTTTTCCAAAAATTCTAACTTGGCTTTTAACTCTTCAACAAGTTTTGCATTCTTCGCTGCTGACTCTTTGGATGCTATCAATTCAGGGGAAGATGAATTTTTATTGTCTTCTAATTTTTTCTCCAACTCGCCAAGTTGTGATTGAAGGTCTTTAACTAAATCGGCTTGAGCAGTTTCAGATAATTTTGCATTTTCATGTTCCAATCTATTTTTTTGAACAATGGATTCCAGCTCGGCAATTTGTGAATCTTTAGTTGAAAGTAATTTTTCTTTCTCGCTTAAAGCAATATTTACTTCCTTTAATTTTTCTTCAAGATCATTCGCTATATATTTTTTATTTCCTTCTGATTCTTTAAATTCTTCAAGTTGAGTTTCTGCCTTAGCTAATTGATTTCCAAGATTAGAAATGTTATTTTGACCAGTTTGCGATGATTTTTTTAATTCTTCAAGCTGAGATTCTAAATTCATAATCTTAGAATGTAACGATTCAATGATTTCTTTATATTCTAGCTCTTTGTTCTCAAGGGCTCTTGTTAGTTCATTCACCTGTTGGATTTTAAGTTCATGTTCCTTTTCAGCATTTGTTAATTGATTATTAAGCTCAGTTATCAATTTATTTTTTTCCTCGTTTTCTAATGTTGAGTTGATTAATTGTTCCCTAAGCTCATTTAAACTTTCGTCATCGTTTGAATCAAATTCCCTCAATGCCTTAATTTCGATTTCTAATTTGTTAACATTTTTTTGTTCTTCATCTCGCTGTTTCAATGCATTCTCCAACGATTTTTTCAATGATTCAAGCTCGTTTGTATTTTTCTCGTTAATTTCTTCTACTTCCTTTTTTAATTCTTGTCTCATCATGTTCAATTCCTTTTCAAGAGAAATTACAAGTTGCTCTTGTAAACCATAATCTTTCTTTACACGTTCCAATTCACTTATAAGCTCTATTTTTTGTTCAGCCTCTTCACGATTCCTATTAATAATATCAAGTTCATCAAGCTCGGAAGATATGGCAGAATTATTATTCTTACTATTACTTTCTGAAGTGATGACTGATGATGCTTCTGATTGCGCAATTGCATCACGCCTTTTTATTTCTTCGCGAAGTTCTTCAACAGTTTCAAGTGTTTGGCGATGATTCATTTCTAAACGAGCAAATTCTTGTTTAACAGCTTCCAGGCCAGAACCTTTATCTTCATTTAGTGATTCGAGCTGCTTAAGCTCATTTTGTAAACGTTGAATCATGGAAAGGTGGGTGGCGTCATATTGCTCAAATTCTTTCATCTCATTTGATAATGATTGTGTTTTACGGTGTAAACCATGTTTAGGCTCGCTGTTATCTTTAATTTCATTTAAATTTATCGGGGGAAGAGACATTCTTATAGGGTTTTGACCACCATGAATACTGTAGGGCGTCATTGGAGTAGCTGGTGTTGATGGTGTGGTAGATTTGAGATCGTCAAGGATCCCTGAATCAGCCATTCTTGATTCGGATAGTTGTGATTGAAGATCTTGAATTTCTTGAATACATGATTCATGTTTAGATTTGATTTCTGAAAATTCTTGGACGGTTTTTTCGTGTGTTTTTTGTAATTCGGATAGTTTTTGTTCCAAAGCCACAACAGCCAAACGATCTTGTTCATCTTTCAATGACATTTTTCCTAGAATTGGTGAAAAATGATATAATCTATCATCTTCTGATGCCGGAGATAAACCTGACGTGGTTATTTCTTGTGAAATTTGATCATTTATGTTTTCTTTTTGTTCGCTTTGTTGCTTCAACGCATTTAATTCGTGAGCAAGATCATCAACCTTTTGTTCGCTTTGTCGCTTCAACAAATCTAATTCACGAGCAAGATCATCAACCTTTTGCTCAAGTTGAGCGATTCTACAATCACGATCATTAATTTGATTTAATAATGATTTCTTTTCTTCCTCTGAAGTAGAATCCTTTAACCTGATCTCCAATTCTGTGCATTGTTGTTCTCTTTGTTGTAGATGCTTTTCAAGTTTTTCGACATTCTTTACAAATTTCTTTAGTTCCTCCTCGCTTGAAGCCAAACGTGTTTCAAGTTCATGAATATAACCTTCGCTATTTGAACCAGTTGATTTCATTTGAGAAATTTTAAGTTTTAATTCGTTGATCATATCTTGATCTTTTTGTTGTTCTTGATTGCGATACTCGAGTTTTGATTCGAGATCTTTGATATGTTGTTCGGTGACTGATTCACGTTCACAAAACTGAGAAATCTTGTTTTTCAAATCATTTATTTGGTTCTTGCTTTGTTCGTTAGCTTGTTCGGCAATCTCGATTCTCATTTCTTGATCATTCATCATATTTTCTGTGTGATTCAAAGCTGCGTGTGCCACAGCAAGTTTGCTTTCCAAAGCGGATGTTGATTTTTCATATTCTTCAATCACCGGTTCAACAGCTTCTTGAAAACTTGCAGCTGCTTGTTTTAAAATACTTTCCTTTTCCTCTGATGAAAGTTGACGAGGATTTCCATCCACGTTATCGGAGTTGTCTTGATGTAAAGCAAGCGCAGCAGATTGTTTCGCATATCTCTGAGATAATTCAACGTAAGAACTTTGTAATAGGGAAAGTTTTTCTTCTAAAGCATCAACATCTTTATCACTTTTATGGTAAGTCAAACTACCGCTACCATTTGAATTTATTGAAAGAGAAGAATTAAGACGCTTTAGTTGAGGGGGTTGTAAGCCGGTAGAACCATCCTTTTCATTGTGAGTGGGAGTATTTCTACCAGAACTATTATTAGAACCATTGTTACTATTAGAACCAGATTTTAGATTTTTTATTTCAATTCTTAATTTCAAAACAAGAGATTGTAAATGTTCTAAATCATTCCAGCCAATTTCTTCTTGATTCAAAACAGCATTATTTTTGATATTACGTGCTCTATTAGCATATTTTAATGTGTTAATTGTCTCATTAAGATTATATTCAGCAGATGATACACAAGCAATCATTAAGGTTTGTGCATTACCGCCAAGAGAATCTTGTAATAATCTGGTGAGCTTTGAGTCTCTGTATGGAATATGAGTTGTATGTTTCGCTTTGTTTGGATCACCTAATGCTGAAATCACATTACCCAATGCAAGCAAACCAGAATTGATTGATATACCTTCTTTAGCACGCTCATTAAGAGCGGAGGTTCGTTTTAACTGAGAGGATATAAAGGAATATACGTGAGTTATGTGTTTTTGTATAAAAAAAATGCCAAAATTAATAATAACAAACAATAAATGGTTTAATTTAAATTTGTCGCACCCTTTCACTACCAGCTAAATCAACAAAATGAAATTTGCTTGTAACAGTGATAAGTTCGCCCTCATCAAATCTACGACTTAGTCTTAAATTTGTGTTTGACGCCTGACGAGCACCGAATTTTGATTCAAGTTTGGAAGGTGTACCAGGCCGTAAACTTTGACCTGCAGCTGACAAACTAGCTTTCTGTTGTACCATAGTAACTGAAAAAATAGCATGCGACCTTGATGATTGTGAATTCATGTCAGTTGCACCAACTTGTCTGTTTAATGAACCATGAGCTAGATAACTCATCACTTCTTCAACGCTGTTTACCCTTATTTCTTGTAAACCGCTCCAAAGTATATTACCTTTAGCATCTTCACGAATCATCACTTGAGGTCTAAGATCGCCATGTCCTTCACCAAGAAGATCTATTAAATCTTCATTGTAGAGCTCCACAAATGACACCTTTAATGAAAATCTTCTAGTTTTATAATTAGGAGAGTTCAAGAAATTGAAAAGGGTATCCATCGCACGTGGGATTATACCTTTTGATTCTGGTGGTATTGAATTATTATCTGCAGTGCCCATTGTGTGTGTTTTGCCTGAAGACGTCTGTCCATATGCCAATATTGTTACATTATAACCTTTGGTATAAAGCATAAATATAAAATAAAAGGACATGTATTATAAAAAATTTTATTTATTTATATAAATGAATAAATAACTAATGATATATAGATTTTTTTTAATTACCCTCTAAAAAATTTTCAACTAAATTTATTACAGCCTTGTCATATACTTCTTGTTGTGATGAATCAGGTCCAAACACATGATCGTAATTAAAAGATAATTTTTTGTCTGATTGAACTACCACCGTATTAGGGGCAGTAGGTGTTGCCGTAATGACTTGTCGTTGTAACCTTGTTGGTAAATGCGCTACATCTTCATTTGTTATGGGTCTTATGCGAAGTGCTAAATTAAAAAAAATTATTTTTTAAATAATTGATTAATAATTGATTAATCAACATAAAAAATGATGAAATTTTCCCACCATTACATTCATTAAATAAATTTGATTACACTCACCTACTTGTACAGAGGTTTTTTCGGATCCCACACTATTTGTGGTCATTTGAAACAAAGAATTAAAAAAATCACCTGTTTTTATAATAATTTATGATTTTGAAACTGCAATTTTTTATTAATTTATTTTGAATTCAATAGTATATATAATATATATAAAATTGTAATCAAGCACAAATGAGTATACTATCATGCAATAACAGTATTTATTTTTTGATTTTTAATTAATTAAAAAAACGATAAAATAGTTTTTTTTTTTTTTAGCGGAAAAAAAAGCAAATCGTAACGATTTTTTTTTTTTTAAAAAAAGAATTTTTTTTTTTTAAAGGTCAAGTATGATTTCCGTTCTTTTCTTAATTTGATTTTTTTTTGGCTTACCCTATTACCTGTTGAAATACTTGTTTTATTTGAGTAACAAATTCCAAATTCGTAACACCAATTTAATATAAATTGTTTGGTACTTTTTATTTTTAATGTATTATTAAAAATTTTACTTGTACTCTTTAACTCTTGCATTTTACCTTTTAAGATGAAAACAACTATTGGTGACAAATGTGTAGAACAGACCATTAAAAAATTAATAATTATCTATTTATTATCATATTATCTTTTTTCGTCAATATTACACATTATTATATCATCAGGGATACCAGTTTACAAAAATAGGTAAAAAATTGTATTTATGAATTCTAAAAATGACAAATATTATTTTAAAACGCGTTAAAAAAAATAATTTTACAATAAAAAAATTTTTATGGAATAATAGCCTTTAAAACAGCAATTCTTCGATCAAGCTTTTTTATTCAATTTATATTTCCAAACAAGGGTCGTACATAAATTCATTCGTATACTGATATAATTGTGTAGTGTGATTATATAAATAAATAAATATATATATATATACATTTTATGACAGATGATCATTCAAACAATCAACAATGCTTTGAAACTGTGGAACAGTAACCAAAAATATCGGGTAAACAATAATCATAATAACCCAAAGATAGCAAGCAAAACGGTGTATTACTTTATTTATACATTAATGATTTAGAATAAAATTGGATTTAGTATTAACTATATTTAAAATGAAAATCTTTTAAAAGGTATAAAAACCAATCGGTCAGAAAATTTTTTAATTACGGACAAAGCTTTTAATAGTCAAATCCTCATTTATCATTTTACCAATAACCTTCAGAATTAGAAAGTTGGTAAATAAGGATCAAAGCTATGTTGTTAATTATATATATTAATATGTAAAAGTTGAATTTATTATTTATTATTCGCACGCATTAGTATGTTATTTATTATGTAATATTAATATTAATATTAATATTCTACGCAATCCTCGGATCCAGCGTATAATTTGCGGAATAATATTAGTATTAGTGTTTTTTTTTTTTGTAACAACTTTATTTTTTACCTATGTAACACAGTTGAATTGGACGATCTATATTGCTGTAAATAAACAAAATGCAAATAAAATTCAAACTTGTATTTCCAACTCAGCAAAATAATATATTATAAAAAAAAAGAAACCCGAATGCATACAACTGTCTTATTACTCCAATCTTTGACTTTTACCGCCCTTGGGGCCTCTTTATACTTGTATTATTATACTGCATTTTGTGGATGGAAATGGAATGGTGAGTGCGTTAGTTATTTTTATGTTTAGATTTTAGATTAAATGTAAAAGAGGTGAGAAATGTGAAATGTTTCATTCAAAAGCTTGTCTTTTTGTTCTATTAACTAAACATTCATTATTTTTATTGTTATCATTAGTAAAAATTGCTTGTTACAATTATGGATTGCATTTAATTATTTAATCAATAAATAATATTTTTGGTTTTTCATATAGATTCAGAAGCGAGAATATTATTTCTAGCCGATCCACAAATAGAAGGAGAAAGTAAAATACGTAGACAAGGAATTCGAGGTTCATAAATATGGATATATGCGTGTATAATAATCATAATAACCATAATAGTCATATTTATAATAATCATCATAACAATTATACACTTTTATCAATAGGAAAAATTGATTTATTTGGCAATGACTTGTACCTTCGACACATCTACACATCATTTGTATCTCTAGATTCATTATTTTCGTCAAAACCAACACATACCATTGTTTTAGGTGATTTATTTTCAAGTCAATGGATTAGAGACAAAGAATTTAAGCAACGAACAGAAAGATATAAATGGATTTTTGGTGATCCTAAAGGAGTTTGTATTAATTATTAATGACGATGATTATTATTGATTATTGGTTAATGATCGATGATTGATTTTTTTGCCTCCTTGATAAAGGAATATAATCATAAACTTATAAATTTAACAGGAAATCATGATATTGGATATAGCGGTGATATGAATAAACATAGAGTAGAAAGATGGAAAGAAGCATTTGGAGAAATGAATTTTGTTGATTGGATACATAATGATGATGATAATGATGATAATGATGATAATGATAATGGTGGTTATGATAATAATAATAATAATCGCAAGATTAAAAAATTTCACAAATTGGCAATTATAAATTCTATGAATGTGGATGGACCTGTTTTAGATGAAGTAGTGTTATATATATATATATATATTTACTTTTTATTTATTTATAAACACATACAGCATTATATATTATTAATTAATTAATTAATATTGACAGGAGTTACATTATGAGACATGGTCATTCTTGAGAAAGCTTTCAGATGAAGAAGATTATCGTAACACGCCATTGATATTATTAACACATATCCCTATACATAAAGAAGAAGGAATATGTGTCGATGGGCCTATGATTGTTTATAATAGGTGAGCAATTAATTTGTTAGTTATTGGGTTAATTGTCTAATTAATTAATTATAATTATAAAATTAAGCAGTATCTAAATTTCACCATTCTGATATATATTTATTTTTGAAAAAGTGATAATACGATAAAAGAACAAAATCATCTTTCGCAAAATTCATCCAATTTCATTCTTACCAAACTCAAACCACGATTTATATTTGCGGGACACGATCATGAAGGATGTGACGTAACACATGTGATAAGACTAAACGATAATTACGATAGTAATAATAATAACAGCGATGAATATACGATAGAATCTTTTAGGACAAATATATTTGAATCAAAGAGACAAGAAATTTTAGGAAGAAAACAAGATGAGGAATATGACGAGGATGGGAATCTTAAAAGTTGGATTGTTAGAGAAGTGACAGTAAGATCGATGATGGGAGGGTTTAGTGGGAATGCAGGATTATTTGAAATTAAAAAGAAAATACCAAAGAAAGATGAAGATTATGGTGTGGAGGGAGAAAGAGAAGGTATAAATAAATATATTTAATGCAATAATTAAAATCTATTAATATTAATATATTAATATGTTATAATATTTACTATTTTATTATTTAGAATTTGGATATAATTATTCATCGTGTCCATTTGTAATAAATCATATAGCATGGGTTGTAGTTATAACAGATATAATATTAATAATATTATGGATGTTAATATTTTTAATAATATGGAGTCAACCAATTATTTTACCAAGAGTCAAATCATCATCATCGTTTTACAATGTCTTTAATAAATACATCAGGTTTGATTGATTGATTTATTTATTATTTGTTTATTTATTTATTTATTATGTAAAATACTTGATATTAGAAAAAAAAATTTTTGTGTGTATAAATTAAAAAGTTGATATTAGAAAAAGAATTTTTTGTGTATGTGTATTTATAAATTAAAAAGTTGATATTAAAAATAAAAAATTTACATATTTTATTTCTCAAAGTTAAAATTAACGACGTCGTTGTTCGTTTGGATAAATAATTTCATCATCATCAAGTAACTTTTTAACCTCCCAAGTATGTTTTTTGCTACCAACTGAAAATTCCAGATCTTCTTTTGTGATAGAATCCCAATATTTATAAATCATCATAACAGCCAATAGCGTACAAATCGTTCCAAAGAATAGTCCGTCTATATAATGTTTGGCATAGTCACAGATGCGAATAGAGAATACATAAAGGACTGTTTGTCCAATAACATAAAACGCCGTTCCAAACATAATATCACCAAGTGGCCAACGATCTTCCAATGTATTAAGGACTAGTACTATCTGAAGTATAACATAGATGAAAAGTGCAGCTCCGTTAAATACGTATAATATTATCCATACAATAATTGGTTGTGATGAATTCAATCCTCCGATGTTTAAAAATGTAGCAAGAGATAATAATGCTGTGATGGTAAAAACGAATAATGATGAAAGACGAAATGACTTTTTATAAATTTATATTAGTATTAGTGATAAGAAAAGAACGAAAATTTAATGATTATTTCGTGTGCAAGCTCACCCAAAGTGATAATGAAGTTCCGTCTTCAAAAAATTGAAAACCGACGAATCCATTAAGCAATAAACACCAAAATGTTGCGCTTATTAGACCAATATGTATAGCTGTGAAATACTATATAACAATCGTAATCATCGTGTCAAAGAAAATTATTATTATTATTGTTTTTATATATATGTATGTATATGGTAAATAGTGAAAAATACTTACAGGATAAACTTTGGATGCTGTGGGAATGACACCGGAAATGAGCAAAAATTCTAAAAAGGTAACCATCATATATAAATAAAAGAACAATACGATTTCTTTACGGCCTATTTTACAATAAAGATTGATATATTAATTAATATTGATCGATTGCTAGCAAATGACAAAGTCGTAATCAATAAAAGTACCAAGAATAATATTTCTACTAACCGACAGCAGTATATTTTGATTTTATATGAAAAATCATGATAGAAGTCATCATCAAAGCGACAAGGTGTATGATAAGTGTAGCTAAATATACGCGTTTAATTAGAATATTTTATATGTATTTACGTATAGACACACACAAAAACACAAGCACATATTTACCAGGTTGAAAAACCAAAGACCCTCCAATTTCAATATTTCTTGAATAACATGATGGTTCGATTCCTTGTTCTGCACCAATAAGCGGACATACCGTGAGTGCGATTTCCTGACAAACGCTATTAAAATCACCGAATTTGGCCATTGTTTATATATAATAAAATGATGATAATTTAAAAGAATGTGTTTGTTTTTTGAGAAAATTTTCTAATAAATTTTATTTACTTTAAAAAAAATAAGAGAAGACAATATATATATATATATATATATATCGATCGATCGTACATGATATAAATAATGAATCGTCAGTCATTCTTTCTGTTTTTTCCTGTTTCATAATAATTAATCATTTTTCATATAAGTATAGAATTACCCAAATAAGGTAATTCTAATTAATTTGATAACCCTTAAATTTCCTCTTTTAACGACTTTCTCGACCTAATAAATGAACAAATAAAGGAAAGTAACTATTTATTATTATTAAAAAAATATGATCAACGTTTTCACGAAATTAACATTCATTCATATACCACTTATAAAATCTCCAACGATGAAGCATACAATTCAATTGGTGATCGATATATTATAATTACAAAAAAATTAACTATGAGAAATAGTTATTATTAGCATCAGAGATCCTGTTTCCTTGTTCCACAATACCTATTAGGTAACGGAAATGCATAATATCCGACTGTGCCATTTATTAATACCTCGATTCAACGGTCACTAAATTAAAAATCCCGGTTTAACGGGATGAAGTTCAAAAACGGTTTCATAATAAATCCTTAATATTAATAAAAACCTTCTCGATATAACGGATCTTTGGAAATTTTCTCTAATAATAATTGCCAAAACTATTCGTTAAACCGAGATTCACTGTGTATTGGTAGTATTACTGGTGTTAATATTAAATGGTTTAAATGCTAACCCGGTTTGAACAGTAATTTAAAATCGCAGTTGGGTGATCATATATTAAAATCTGTTTGGTTAATTTTAACAACCGTTTAATATTTAATTTAACAACCACGATTTAATAAAGGTCAAACTTTTGATAAAACTGTATACCCTAATAAACGTTTGACTAGTTTATTTTTATAGAAATTCAACATCAAAATATTCTGGTTGATATTGCTGCAATAATACCACTATTAATAATTATAATGATTATATACAACATTGCATTAATTAAAAAAATGAATCGGTGGTGTACGATCGGAAAGAATTGTTACACAACCATTATTATTGAAAAATAGAGTTTAAAAAAAAAATTTTTTGCAAATTTCATATTAAAAAATTAGAGGTCACTCAGAAAATTTTTAGTGATGAGAACCTAAAAAGTTTAGTTGTGTCGCCTTATTAACAAAAATTAAGCATAGCGGACATTTGCATATTTGGTAATGATTTGTGTCAATCACGTAAAAAAGAATTTTGATTGGGTTGAATATCATTACTAAATTAACAATTACACAAAATCATTAATTGCGCACAATAATAATAATTATAATGGACAAAATTGAACGTCGATCTTTTTTATATTGTGAAACAGAATTTTCAATTATTTTAAAGTAAAAAAAAAAAAAAAGAGGAAAAATAATGAACCTTGCATATTATTTTTTTATATTGATAAGTTGTTTATTCTTTTCTTTATGTTTGGGCAAAATAAGATCCTCAGATCTTGGTCCTATCAAAAACTAGATGAGAAACAAAATTTTTAAGGCACATAACATAATAATAGTAGCATAGCAGGTCATAAGTAACATGACTAAAATACATTGTAACAACAAAGAATGTTTTGCAAGAACATACCTTCCTTTGAAAACTTTGCTTGGTTAAAAAATAAACCAGTTAATCCAGCAGATTGCAAAATCTAAATCAGAGGTAAAAATTCCAAAAAGTATACATATTTTTTACCAAAGTGCGCAAAAATTAATGATTCAATTACATTTCTTATTCTTTTTCATTTATTTCTTTAGACATAAATGTAATTGTGCTAGAGCAACACATACATACATATTATTTATTACATATTGGGATAATAATAAGTACACTAATAAAAAAGTTATTTATACATGATTGACTCGAGACACAAAAGGTAGTCATAAATGTATACATATATATTATTTTTTTTTTATTACATATCAGAAAGTACACACTAATAAAAAACGTTATTTATACATGGATGCTGTATGATTGACTTGAGACATAAAAGGTAGTCGTAAATGTATTATTTTTTACATACTAATAAAAAACGTTATTTATGATTGATAGATGTTGGCCTTGTTTCTATTGTCCACGCCTCAAGTAAGATAAATAAAAATTTGCTTCCAATATATACTTGATAAAACTTGCACACTTTTTTATAAATTGGTTAAATGATGGTTCGATTCCTTGTTCTGCACCAATAAGCGGACATACCGTGAGTGCGATTTCCTGACAAACGCTATTAAAATCACCGAATTTGGCCATTGTTTATATATAATAAAATGATGATAATTTAAAAGAATGTGTTTGTTTTTTGAGAAAATTTTCTAATAAATTTTATTTACTTTAAAAAAAATAAGAGAAGACAATATATATATATATATATATATATCGATCGATCGTACATGATATAAATAATGAATCGTCAGTCATTCTTTCTGTTTTTTCCTGTTTCATAATAATTAATCATTTTTCATATAAGTATAGAATTACCCAAATAAGGTAATTCTAATTAATTTGATAACCCTTAAATTTCCTCTTTTAACGACTTTCTCGACCTAATAAATGAACAAATAAAGGAAAGTAACTATTTATTATTATTAAAAAAATATGATCAACGTTTTCACGAAATTAACATTCATTCATATACCACTTATAAAATCTCCAACGATGAAGCATACAATTCAATTGGTGATCGATATATTATAATTACAAAAAAATTAACTATGAGAAATAGTTATTATTAGCATCAGAGATCCTGTTTCCTTGTTCCACAATACCTATTAGGTAACGGAAATGCATAATATCCGACTGTGCCATTTATTAATACCTCGATTCAACGGTCACTAAATTAAAAATCCCGGTTTAACGGGATGAAGTTCAAAAACGGTTTCATAATAAATCCTTAATATTAATAAAAACCTTCTCGATATAACGGATCTTTGGAAATTTTCTCTAATAATAATTGCCAAAACTATTCGTTAAACCGAGATTCACTGTGTATTGGTAGTATTACTGGTGTTAATATTAAATGGTTTAAATGCTAACCCGGTTTGAACAGTAATTTAAAATCGCAGTTGGGTGATCATATATTAAAATCTGTTTGGTTAATTTTAACAACCGTTTAATATTTAATTTAACAACCACGATTTAATAAAGGTCAAACTTTTGATAAAACTGTATACCCTAATAAACGTTTGACTAGTTTATTTTTATCATCTTCATCAGAATCTTCATATGAAAACTTCCCCCCTGGTATTTCTAATTTGTTTTTTTTTTTTTTTTTCAAAATAATTAATAAAATTTCAACAAATATACATAAAAATAATTTTATATATACCTTGTAATGGTACACTAGGTGTATGCCGTGATCTATCTAGATTTTTAAATACCAAATTCCTAATTAAGAATTTGAATTAGTAAATCAGTTTGTCAAAAAAAATTTTTACCAACCAAGTTGTCAAAAAAAAAAATATATTATTTTTCTGAGGAAAAAATTTTTAATTAAACATTCTTATAGTAAGTAGTACTACATTGTTTTTTCTAAATATTTTCTTGTATTTTTATTTTCCATGTTGCTTGACAATACATCTAGTTTATACTCTGGTCCAAAATAATCATGAAAGTCATAGTCAGTTCTTGGTGGCAATTCTAAATAAATAAATAACAAATAAATTATTCATGCATTATATGTATGTATGCATGCATCTTTGTTCCAACAACATGTATATTTATGCATAGAAAAACCTGGTCCAATTTCTTGTCCAACTACCACTCCAGTTTCATATGCCCAAGCTCTAGACACATTACGTATAGTATAACCACCTCCTCCTAATATTAGCATTGGTATATTGAACTTTTTTACAAATCGTACACAATGTGCATGCCCTTTAAATATTATTTTTATTTATTATTATTTATTTTGATAAAGGGTTTTATTTCATTATTATTAACATTTTTTACCTTTGGATGATAAATTGAAACAACCAAGCCGATCACCACTTAATGAATCGGCTCCACATTGTAAAACAATTACTGAAGGTTGGTACCATCCAATTACATATTCCACGACCTAAATAATAATCAATATATATTTTTATGTTAAATCATAAATATAACTTTTTATATTTTAAATATAAAAAAAATTTCTATTTACTGGCTCAAACACAAATTTATATGTTTCATCATCAACCCCTTCTCTTAAAGGGAAATTTACTGCGTAATATTTTCCTTTGCCAATACCAACATCCTGTTTATGTTTAAAATAAAGGAAAAAATGAATCAAATATTGCAATATTAAAAAAGAATCAAGACTGTCTGAAAAAAAAAAATTTTTAAAAAAGAAAAATTCATATGATTCATTCTTAATTATGATAGAATAAAAACAAACATACATTGACATCTCCAGTTCCTGGAAAAAATTCTCCATAATTATGAAAACTCAGCGTCATCACTCGATCTGTTTTATAAAATGCCTCTTCTACACCATCTCCGTGATGAATGTCAATATCTATATAGAGTACACGTTGATGAAACCTGTTGTTATCAATCAAAAAGAAAAAATGTTATTTTTTAACCTTTAAATTTAAAATATTTTTCCATACTAGAATATATTATATTTTTTTATACCGTAATAATTCTAAAATAGAGATAACTATATCATTAACATAACAAAAACCACTAGCTTCTTGTTTTTTTGCATGATGTAACCCTCCTGCCCAATTAACAGCTATATCACATAATCCATAATTTAACCTTGCCGCACCCTCTTTTTTAACAAATGAAACAACAATAATAATTTGATTAATATACATGGTTTTCCAAAGGAAATAATATTTTTTTTGCTATATGGGCTTCCCTTTGAAAAATAATTACCTAAAGATCCTCCTGTTGCTATTTTACAATAATCAAGTAATCCCATAAACACTGGACAATCTTCACCAACATTGACTAAATGATTTATTTTTATCATTTATATTAAAAGCATAATACGTTAATTTGTATTTTTGACCTTTAGTAAACTAAGAAAAAGCATTATAAAAAATAATAAAATTACATACATTTAGTACATTCTTTAAAAAAATAGTCCTTATTATCTGGTGTAATTTTTTCCAAAAAATTTATATAATCATCTGTGTGGAATTGTGTTAATTCATCAAATGTACTTGGTCTAGGTCTCTATAAAAATTTTATTTTTAATTATATTTATTTTTTTTTTTTTATTTTTTTTAAAAAAATTTAATTTGAATAATTTACTTAAGGATTCAAAATAACAACAATAATGATATAAAGAACTGGTAGAAGCACAATTCACATAAAGTTTTAAGGTTCAAAATAGATAGGATACAAAGATTTCCATTTTCTTGCACAATCCATATTTCATAACTAGATCATGAGTCATCTGTACTCTTAATGTTTTCATTGGATGATTTGAACCATGATCAAACCCAATGATATCATCTATATACAAAATAATTAAGAATTGCTCCCATCAATATATATATAAATAATCACTCGATGTTTTATCAACAACTCCTTTCTGTAAAGTTTACAAAAAATAATATCAGATAGTTACTTACAATCATAAAAATAGTTTATTCTTTTTTTTGTTTCAGTAGTCATACTTTTTTTAAAAATATCGTTCTATCTTTTAGAATATTTTCTTTTCTATCTAAATATTTAATTAGTTTTTTTTATAAGATTAGGTGCTACTATTGTACTTAATTTTTTTGTCAATTGGTCATTGATCATTATTTTAACATGGTGAAAAGTATTCTTTGTTATCACAATTGTGTTACATCATCAGAGTGAATTAGTGTTACATCAGATTAATTGGTGTGATGTGATGTGATTTGATTTTTAGTCTTATTTTTTCTAAGAATTGAATGAAAAGAAAACTATTATATTAATCAATTCACTTCACTCACTATAAATAAAAAATAAAAAAATTATATTCCGCATCAGAAAAAATTAGTATTCCAAAAAATTTTTTTTAATAATAATATATAATTTTCTTGTGTGTAAATAAATAATTTATTATTTAATAATAACAATTCTTATACATCTAATATTATAATTAATCAAGTAATAATCTTGTAAATAGATATTTTGAAATCATAGATAGGTATATATATATATAATGATGATAATAAAATATTTTTAAGCAAATAGGAAAAAGTTTTGCAACTTGTTAATTTGTAATATTTAGCCCTACCTAATATATATGTGTCTATTGTTCTATTAACTGTATATGTCTTTAACTTATATTCTATGGTTTTTCATATAATCTTCTCTATACAAATGCTTTTTACGCTATTCTTTTCAATCTAGTTTGTGAAAAGTGTGTGAGTGTGAAATTTGTTGGAATACATTCAAAATTTTGTAAATTGATCAAAAATTGACTTTAACGTATTGTTAGCAAGTAACTTTATTTCGAAATGAGTTTTGTATTGAAGTGCCAAATTTTTTTTTATTTATAAAAAAAAGTTTATTATTATTTGAAAGTGAATAGATGAAAAATATTTTATCATTTCTGTGTGATTACCATAAAGGTGTGACATTTGTATAAATTTAATGTTAATAACTAATATATAAATCGGAAATGATTTACGAAGTTGCACGCAAATAAAATCGGAAAAACTGATCAAGTATTCAAAAACCAGTCCAATTTCATATTTTTATTCAATCACCAATACCAATAAAATAATTGACTCACGGAAAATATCTCAAACAACGGAGAAATAAATATTCTAACATTCTAAAATGTAACAAACCTTTAATTCTTAGATTTAATTTGAACGAAGGGATTTAAATCATTGGATTACTTTAGAAATAACTTGAAAATAATTCTACGCAGTAATGCATTTAATTAGAATAAATTAGGATTTCAAAGAAATCAGAGAACTAGATGATAGAACCTTTAACATGTATAAATAACGTTGTAATTTTCTTAACTTCATATATCATTCATCATCATCTTTAATCAATTAATTAATAATAGTCGTTTACTGTCATTGACCTTGTTGTCTTCGGATATTATATTTTCCTATTGATAATAGATCTATCTCTAGCAATTAATACATACTAATCCCGTGTTTAACCATACTCTCTCATTTTATATTCGACACTATATTATTATTATTTAACTCTCTTACCAGGGGGACGCCTTTTATAAGTATAGTTGTATATATTACTTTTAATTTTATTTTCTTTATTTTTATTTAGCTTAGACCAAAGCCCAAGACCAAACGGAAACCCTAACTAGGTGCGGCCAGTAAGGAAACTGAGCCTAAATACACAACAGACGTGACCAAACAACTGAGACCTAAACATAAAATATAACAGAACAAAGCCCGACGTATCGCGGCTAAGCAATAAGAAAGCCTAAAGAACCAAGGCGGATATTTAGGATTATAAATATCTTGGAGATGTACGGCTCAGGCAGATAACAAAGAACTGCTGAGAAATTGTTACCGGACGGGGAAGTAAAAATCGCCCACATAGATTAATAGACCAAGCGCTATTAATATCATACACACCAGAAAAGTACAGTCAAACCTTGTCACAGCGTATGAACGGGACATATAAGAAAATTTTATTTAAAATCCGTTGTGATAAGATTACTAATCTTGCCACAACGGATTTTTATATGTTTTTATATGTGAAGCAAAAATTTTAAAAATCCACTATGACAAGAATTTAATTATAATCCGCTGTGACAAGGTTTGACTGTAATTGCAGTTGAGAGTAAGCTACCAAGGGGTACTCGGCCACGGCTGTATAAATAAAATACCATCATAAGTAAAATATTGAGATTTACTGTGAGGTGCGGATTTCGATCTCACAGTAATAAGGAGACCTTGATGGTACAAGAAAAATATTTACACAGGTCTATTTGTTAACATTTATTTATTAAAGTGTAAGTGCAATGTGATATTATATCCTTTCATCATGAATTGAACAAAATTTATTATATAAATAAATAAATAGCTATATATCAACTACAAATAAATATCATCATTATTATTGCACTTTTGAAACATAAAGATCAATTCCAGGATCAGGCCTAGTAATAACACCAAATTTCTTTTTGATCTGAAAACCTTCAACTTCCCTAAATTTAAATTTTCTTATCAAAGAAGATAAAATAATCTTGAATTCAGTTGTGGCTAATTTAAAACCTATACAAGATCTAGGACCTGTCAAAAATGGTAAATATGTATAATTATTTATTTCTGATGTTAAATTTGGATCCAACCATCTTGATGGTTCAAATTTGTCATGATCTTCTCCCCAAATTTTTGAATCATGATGAGCTGAATATATTGATACTACAATTGGTGTGTCCTATTGATTAATTAAGAAAAATTAAGTATATATGTTATATAGATATATAAATCAATAGATGTTAAATTAGAATTAAATAAATTTTTATACTTTTGGAATAAAGTATCCATCAATTGTTGTATCAATTTCATTATTTCTTGCTATCGCTGGTGCTGATATAAATAATAATATGGTATTAGTATATATATACTTACACTTATTATACACATACTTAAATATAAATAATTGTATAGATATATTGATTTTCCATCTTTCATCATAATAATAAAATACCTGGTGGAATGACTCTCATAGTTTCTTTGAATACACAATTTAAATATTCTAAGGAATTTATTTTGTCAAATGATGTTTCTAAATCAGGATCTGGTGAAGCTTCCAATAATTCTTGACGAAGACAATCTTGAACTTCTGGATACTTTGCAAGTAAATATAATGACCATGAAAGTGCAGTACCTGTGGTTTCATGACCAGCTGCTAAAAATGTCATAATCTATCACACAACAAATAAATTAAAACCAAATAAAATAACAAAAATAATATATAATATAATATGCATGTAATTTACTTGATATTTTAATTCTGGTTCAGACATTTTTTCTTCTGGTGGCAAGTCTTGATTAATATTGATTAATAAAGACAACAAATCTTTTCCTTCCAATTTTTTTAATTGTGCCTGTTTTTGTCTTTCTTCAATTAGTTCCAAGGAAAA